GGCACCACATGTCAGGTCTTGGCAGCCTTAGATAATATTGGCAGATTGCTTAGAGCCACTTTTGGGTTACTGATCTGTTCCCTGTAGCTGCAGAATGCTCTTAGACTGTTTCTCCGTCATGTTTTTAAGTTTTTTTTTGCCCTTGTGCTCAGCAAGCAGGGCTGTCACCTCAGGAGGTGCGTCCCACACGTGCTGAGGAGCCGAGACAGGCCCGTCTSTGTTTGCAGGGACACTCCTGGGGGTCTTTCCCGCTGAGCCCTTCCAGGCAGGACTCGTCTGCCGACAGCGGCAGCCTCAGGGATCCCGCCGCTCCGCGAGCCCAGCGGCCTCACCTTCCGCCAGGCCCCATCTTCATCTCGCCGGCCCCCTGTTTACTCCCCGGCACTAGATCTCGTCCGAGACGATTCCACACATGGTAGTAATTTTTTCCTTTGCCCTTCCACTGTTTTCTGTCTGTCTCGCCGCTGCGGAGTGTTGTTTGGAGGAGGACGGAGAGGCAGCTGCTGTGATAGCCTGTTCCTGCCGCCGCTGCTTCCAGCGTGGGCGGCTGCTCCGGCCTCTCCACGGGTGTCASCCGAGGCCGAACGGGCGGCAGCAGCGGCCACACGTGGGTGCAGTTGGTGAGGGCAACATCTGGCCATGACAGCTGTGTAGCAGCCCGGGYAGTAGCTGAACGTGCCCGTAATTCCTGCTGCTCCGGAGCTTTATTGGGGTTTGAGAGGCAAGGAACAGATCGAGCTGTTTGAGCGGTGAGTTTTACTTTCCCTCTTTTTCTCCTTTTCCTCATGCTGCCTTTAGTAGCTGCTAGGTAAGGCTCTTACACGCTAACATCCTTCTGGGTTGCACATAACCTTCTGCCCCTTAATGCTGTAACAGGCTTCGCCTTCAGATCTGGCATGGGGCAGCCTGTTATCCTCTAGTCCTTGTCTGTCACAAGAGCATCCTGAAGTTTCCAAATGCGTGTATCCTGCAGCTCCTGATTGAGCCGCCTCCAGATCTTCTGATTTGGGAACATGTATGGAAAGCGATGTTTCATAAAGATGTTTTTTCACAAAGTAACCCTGGGGAAAAAAAAAAAAAAAAAAAAAAAAAAAAAAAAAACCCAAAACACAGAAATGTTGCAAAGTTCCCAGCTTTTATCAAAAAAAAAAAAAAAAAGTCTAGTTTAGTGTTGCATTTCAACAAGATTGGGAATCAGTCAAAATCAATTGATTTTATTAAAGTATTTTTCCATCATCAGTTTTCTGTTTAAGATGGAAAATGAGGGAAATAGGAAGAAAGGTTGGAAATAAACAAAATGCTTTTAAGCGTCTGAATTTGAAATTCTCAGAAAAGCAGCTTGGAAATTTTCTTTTTTTCTTTTTTTCTTTTTTCTTTTTTCTTTTTTCTTTTTTCTTTTTTCTTTTTTCTTTTTTCTTTTTTCTTTTTTCTTTTTTCTTTTTTCTTTTTTCTTTTNNNNTTTTTCTTTTTTCTTTTTTCTTTTTTCTTTTTTTTTTTCTTTAAATGTCAGTCTGGAACAGAGAAAACTTGAGCATTCCAGAATGAAAAATGCCACCTGTTCCTTTGCAGCTGTCCTATAAAACCGCGCAGCGCTACTGGCAACTATTAATATCTCCAACTTTTTGATGTGGCAAGCACTTAGCATTGGCTTCAGTGTTTTCTGCAAACGTAGAAGTTGGTTTTGCTGTGTTTTCCCTAAGTTTATATACCTGGTCTGGGCTACGTACATCTGACAGACAACTGAGCATTTCTCAGTGCTAAGCTGTGGTTCGGGGTTGCAGCGTGGTTGCAGTGAGAATACTTAGTACACTATTGTGAAAGATGAAAGGAGTGGAAGGGGGCCAAATTCAAGCTGTTTTCCATTGCATCTGATCAGCAGATCCTATGGAGAGAATTTGCCTGCTGAGAATATTTGCTTCTCACTAGCTTGAGCTGTCTTGGGTTTTGGCAGTGCTACAGTGTGAATTTGCGGTGGCTTTCCAGGGTGTCTATCCTACACAACTGCCAATTTGTGTTTTTTTTTTTCTTTACAGGATTTAGGATTTTGTGCTCTGCTTTGAATCCGTGAGGAAATGACACAATGGTAGACAATGAATGTATTTTTACACTTACAGCAGATGAGTCATCTGTTTCTTAAAAAACAGCAGATCAAAAAACCAAATACTTAGGAGTGAGAGGCAAATCCTCCCTCCTCATGCTGCCTGGTGTAGGTGTCAGCTGCAGGTGTCTGTGCTGACCACCACAGTTTTATGGAAGAGTTGAGGTTTATTTTGTGTTATACTCCAGAAAACAAGGCAACTGAGAAAGTTGTGCCTTGTCTTTAAGAGATGACAGTGTTGAAATGCGGTTGTCCTTCCTCCCGGGAATGAGGTGGTCATTGCCCCTTCGCAGGGGCGATGTGTTGGTGGTGACATTTTGTGGGTTTGTTAATTTTTGTGTTCTGAAATTCAGTCCAGGTAAACATTTCTGTGGCTTACAGTGCAGAACTGTGAGGAGCTGCCAGGACTCTGCTTAGGCAAGCAGGGAGTTCTTGGTTTTTAACTTACTGGTAACTCATACAACTTATATTTGTCCTTTATCASTCACTGCACTGGAGCAGCTTCTCCAAGCAGTCTCTTTACAATTTTTACTATTTTAATAGAGAAAGCCTAATTTTCTACAAAATCTAGCGAAGTTGCAAGAGAAATTAAAGACTGCAGTCCTCAAGATCACTCTTTCCCAGGTTTTCTAGTTCAAGAACCAGAAAAAAAAGAGGTCTGAGGATTGAAATGAGCCTCTGAGCAGTTCCTGTGTGCGCTGAAACCAAAACAGGGCAGCAGGAGACCCCTGCGGGTGCTTTGGGGCTGTAGGAGATGGGGTCTGTATGTCAATAAAGTTGTGTCTTGATGCCCGCAGGAGCTGCAGGAGGGTTTGGGGCCATGTGCCCATGTGTGGGGGATAGGATGTGTTGTTTCTGAGACCCTTGTAGAAGATGGTGCTCTGGGAGCTGAGCGGCGCCCGTGGTCCCCGCAGTGTGACCCATTTGCGCGGCCTATTTCAACGTCAGTTTGGAGGAGCTGGATTCACACACAGATGTTTCAGTCCCTTTTTTTAGGGTTAGAATGATTTAGATATCCTGCTGGCTTTAAATCTACTTTCCTAGTTTTCATTACTGCAACAGTCACAAAGATGTAGGACATTAGAATAGACACTGYGAAACAACGAATAGTTACAGCTAACAGATGAAGAATTTTAGTTTCTCTTGAAAATGGAAGCAAAATCTTCTGAGAACTGAGAACTTCTGAGAAGAAACCAGTCCTTGGCCAATGGAAGGCATAGTAATCTGCAGAGAAGGCTTTCCTAGGGGCTAGGTCTTAATGATAAAACTCCTCCTTGCTCTCCAGTGTCTTAGCAGTGCCAGGATGTACAAATCTCCCTGGCACTGACCCAAGCTRGAATAAGCTCAGTTTTGCAGTTCAATGAGATACATATTGCTTGTGAATCCTGCCTAAGTAGTCCCCTCAGGATTGCCTGAACATTTCTCACCTGAACACATTTTTCTCCCTCCTTTTAAACAAATGTTGCCATTGTTAAGACTATTGGGAAACAAAAACTACAGAAGCAAAACTTCTTCCAGGGGTTGCTGCTTGAGTCTTTGGCATACATGGTTTGTCCTACTGCTTTGAGATACCAGTTTTCTAAAGGACACTTTGGGACAYGGTGTTACAGGAACTGCTGGCAAACGTTGCTTTTGTGATGACCATCAAAAGAAAAGAATATGCACAAACAGTCATAGGGCTGTGACACTCTTTCTTTGAGAAGTGGATATTTCATCAGTGGAAGAACTGGACTTCCACAGGCTGCCAAATGACTGATATTTTTATTACTGTTCATCATTTGAACTTCTGGCATGAAGATGGGTGCAATTAAGATCCCCCGGAGCTCCCCTAACTGTGATTGTTTTTTAAGTCTATTAGGTTGGTGTATCCCGTATGATCTGTATATTTTTGTTAGGAAATGTTGTTAGGAACCTGTTTTTTTTTCTTCTTCTTCATTCTCTTCCATTTCTATTAAATTTGCACATTGCTCCACCCACCCTTTGGACCTGACCACAACTGTCCTCCTTCAAAGGCTAAGCATAGGAGTCATTCATGTTGYAGTTGGAAATATTGCAGAAAAATTATGCTGCCAACAGTAAGCCAGATGGAGGATTTTACAAGCRTCTTTTCATGTGTCACGATCACTTTCAGTGAGGCTGCCCCTGGGTTATGGGCTCTCGGCTCTCCCCGCTGTTGTTCCTTTCTCCCTGGCTCCCTTCCAGCGCCACGTTTTGACCAGGGCAGAAAAGGAGATTGGGAGTCTCCTTAGCTTTCCAAGTGCTTTTTTTTGTGGTGGGGCTGGTGAGAGCAGGCTCCGTGCGCGAGGCTGTTGGTGCTGAGCGCTGGGCGCCGCAGCCCATGGGGTAAACGTGTGGGAGCACGTGTGGGAATGTAGCTGGAGACGGGAGTGAAGGTGGCCCCGTCCCCTCCAGCCTTTGCCCGCCTTCCGAGTCCAAAAGGAGAAATCTGTAACGAAGCACAGTGGTTTAGTGAAGGGTGTGGGGGAGAGGTGTATGTATGTGCATAGGTAAGTATAAAATATATATTAAAGATGCACAGGCATATGGTGTGTTCTAGTCCCCTCAGTGAAAAGCGATGTGATCGCTCCTGCTTTGAAAGAAACCTGTTTCAGCTTGGCATAACCTTACTATTTACCAAGTATTGATTTAAGCAATGGTAAAGAAGTCACCCAGGAAGGTGTAAATTCTCCCTGAATTCCGTGTGTTCCAAAGTTAGTGCTGTTTCTGCTCACAGAAACTGGGGCTATCTGGACTAGTAGTTCCGGGCTTTTGTGAGAGGAAAGAGCACGTGGCTCTTTTCCCAGCAATTTATTACTGGATTACCAAAGGAATAGTCAGCTTGATAGGATTGTCTTTTCCAAGGAAGAAGAGTTAAATGAATTTAATTTTTGTCTTGTTTCAGGATAATATCATCTTATTCCTGAGAGGCTGCAAAGAGCTGGGGCTTAAAGAATCTCAGCTCTTTGATCCGRGTGACCTTCAGGACACATCAAACAGAGTAACCGTCAAGTAAGTAGAGCAGCAGTTTGCAGTGAGCATGTTGTAGCCTCAAGATGCATGTGACTTAATAGTAAACGTTTAAGAATGAGCAAAAGGGCTGGAGAACTGTCATGTGTATAAAGCAAGCACAAAGCTGAGTTTTTCTGAAACCTGCAGCACAGGAAAGGATAGACCATTCTCTTCAGCAGCCTTTCTCCAAAGGCAAAGGCCATCTTTTTTTTTTTTTTTTCTTTCTTTTTCTCCTGAGAGATCAAGCACAGCTCTTTTAAAATACTTTTTTAGTTCAAACACTGAAATCATGTGGGGCCCCGCAGGTGGGAGGTGGATCTAAATTGATAACTTTCTTTTTGTCCCTCTAACTAATGAACCATGTAGGCCGGGGGAAAAAAAATCACTGCTGTGCTATTTCAGATCCAGCTGTTTTGAAGATTCGTTATAGGACTTTGTTGACCTTGAACCATTAATTGAAGATCCCAGAATATGCAAGGTGCAGACATGAGCGTAGCCTCCGTGTTTTATAATGAGAGCTCTAGATTGGGACACTGCTGTCTCTGAGCTGTGGATCTCTATGTAAACTATATGAACTTGGAATGTCAAGTTTCAGATGCTTTTCCACCGCATCCAATACTACCACACATAGGCATTTTATTGCTGCGTAATGTGCAGATATTAATGGATTCGCCTTGCTAATAGCTCATTTGCTTTTCTTCTCCCCTTTTTTGGCTGATTTTTTTAARTCTTCATTTAATCAACAGCTTGCTTTGTCGTGTTATATTCACATCCCTTGTTACTGTAAAGATTTTGAAGTGCTTSGTCTCTAATGCTTATATTTTGAGCAACTCTATGAAGTGATATAGGATACAGATGAAAACTATCACAGAAAGAATTACTGACTTGCCTGGGGTCACACAACATGGGCGAGAATCAAAGTCTGTATRGTCATAGACTGGTCTCTTAAATATGGACGTTGTCATCACGGACTAGAGGAAYAGAAAGAGTCAGACTGTATTTTCCTCTCATTTGTGCTAGTGGAAATCAAGTATTTCCATCTGTCCACCCCTAAGCACACATAAAATAACACAAAATGTCATAAAATTAACAAGACTTTTAATTGCTGTTACTTGAAAGTTCTCCTGAATTTTTGAGGTTCTGGCATGTGTAATTTTAAAAAGTAACTGCTCTGCAGACAGACAGACACTACTGAGTTGACTGAACGGCCTTGCTTCACTTGGCCAGAAAGATCACTAAATAAATCCTGGTCAAACATATCCATCTTATGGAAACAATTTACTAAATTTCAGCAGCATTCTAGTTTTTTCCCTTCTGGCAGTGAAAGCTGGGCAAGTTTTCATGGTATTCAAGCACTGTCTGGGAAAATTCAAAGGTTCTGAAAATCAAATTGGCCACTTTCCTTGCTTTGAGGAATAGTCTGCAGCTTTTCTGCTCCTTTTCCAAGTTTCTGGCTCTGAGCATGAGGCACCTCTCCCATGTACCTACCAGTGACACCCCTGTCATATAGTGAACATGCAGCGAGGCTCTTGCAGCCTTGCTCCAAGTCTGGCAACATTGGATGCAATGGAAGAGGTTCTCCATGACTGCCTTTCAAAGCACGAGAGTGCATGACTGGAGAGGGTTATGAAACAACCCYTAGTCTCCATTTGAAGCATCGAGACATGGTGCTTCTTACATGGACCTTGACGTTTTGGAGCTGAGGATGGCAGAGCACCTTGTTGGAGGCTGGTGCAAAGGCTGGGATGAGCTCGCGGCTCCTGGGAGAGCTGTCCAGCATATAAGCAAATCCAACCAGGAGCAATACAAGTGAGTCAAAGCCGGAGGAATATAAGCAAGTCCAAACAGGAGGAATATAAGCAAGTCAAAGCAGGAGCTGGGTTGGCCCACWGCTAAGATGCTAGGGAGATGTGAAATGCCTCCCTGGCAGGGGTTTTTCCCCCCTCGACTCTACAGAGAAAGCAGCGGTGGAAACGAGCCAAGAGCTTTGCTTGAGCTGTCCAAGTTCACGCTGAGTAACTGAGCGAGCTGTGCAAGCCAAGTCCATGACTGCTCTAGAGAAGTATGTTCAAAACTGTCTTCTAACTAGGTCCCAGAATGCGAAGGTGATTTTTTTTCCTCCTCTTTGAAGACTTTTAGGTTATTTTTTAAACACAATAAAAGCAGCATTTGTTCTGTGGCTAAAGATGAATGTGGCATTAYTGCACGTGACTAAGACAATGGCAGATTTTAAACTTTTTTTTCATATATATGTTAATACAGCAATATATATTAGATCTATTTTTTTTCTTTGGGTTATTCAACTTATAAAAATTATGAGCTAATACTGTAAAGAATTTCTTCTTGACTTGTTAAACAGGACTCTTTTCCACTGCTTTTTTATTAAAGAAAAAAAAAAGACTTTTATTTTTCTTAGTATGTGGGCATTGATGGATAAAATTTTGACTTAAAAGGGAGTTATCAAAACCTACTTTTTTTTCTCTTCTCAAATAGAACATRCAAATGCATTTATTTTTGGCTTTGTCATTTTGTCAGGTATTTTTTGGACTGGACTTACAGTTACAGTAGAAGACAATTCCCTTATATTATTATATAATCAGGAGGCACTCTCTTTTAAATCTGAAGTGCTCTTATTAATTTTTAGCACCCAAGAAAAATACACATTTGCTTCATTCCATTTTTAGTACCTTCTTTGCTGACTTTTGGAGTGTTGTTTGTGTTTGTGCAAAACCCATGCTTTGTTGCTTCTAACATAAAATTTCCACCCTTGTTGAGGAATGTTGGTACAAAATAAATGCATTGGATGCCAACATCAGTGCTTGAGTGCACACTCATAAAGSAGAATGTGATTTCCACAAGAGGTTCTGTTGTAACCAGCAGGATCTTTGTTGCTTCTTCCACCTTCCTTATTCTCTGTAATTCTTRATAGCTTGGAAACACCTGCTCTGTTTCCTTAATGCTTGTAAGAAATGCCTCCTTGTCATATGCATGTTCAGTTGCTTTCAAAATCTGCCTGAGTTGCATGATTTATCAGCAGACAGAATTTGACCAGCAGATTAAAGCAGAATGTGTTTTAGCAGTGAGRACTTTGGTCTTCTTTTTGCAACAAATCAGCAACTCTATTTAAAGGAAATATTTTTGGCACTGCTTCACTGTGGGACCCTTACAAACACATTTTCTTTTTGTACTTCCAGAATCCTAATTTAATGATTGAAGTAATGGTGACAAAATACTCCCACATTATGAATAAATGAATGTGTGAACTACATCCTCTTAGCTTTCATGTGTTTGCAGCCAGCAGGAGCATTGTGCAGGCTTTTGCTAGGGAAAACGTGATCTGCTGCATACACGCTCTTGGAAAGTGTGTCCACTTTCTGATTTTTTTCCCTTTTTCTTTTTCTCTGTTTGTGTGTGTGTGCAACCAGGAACATTGACTATAGTAGGAAGCTGAAAAATGTAAGTACATAACTTGGAGTAATTTTTTTTTTTTTTTTTTTTGTCTGGTTAATCTTCTATTTGGCCTGAATTAGAATTCTGTCAGTAGAAGCTGAGTATGGTTGAATATCACTGAAAAGTACTTTGGAAAACAAGTGCAAGCAGCTCTACTGGAAAATTAGACAGAGCTACTGTGGCAAAATATACTTAGAGCAGAAATAAAATGAAGAATATTTATCTCTGATACGATAAAGAAGTGAGCGAGGTAATCTCTGCTGTCCTGGTTTTGGCTGGGGGCAGCTTGGCTCGCACCTGAAGCTTYGCTGTTGCAGCCCCTCCTGAATATACTAGATAGGAGGTAAAACTGCACAAAGCATTTAAAATGAAGCAAAAGATTCATACGAGATCTGGATGCAAATCTTTACTACCAGGCTTGCTAGCTTTCTCTTGTCCTTCCAAACAAATAAGTGTTTTCCCAGAAAAGCTAATTCGATTTTACTTTAATTTCTTGTTGATTTAAACCAATGGCAGTAGTAATGGATTTAGTAACTGTTACATGCAAAAGAAAATGGCTAAGCTTTGCTGGCCTCAAAGTTAGTTATTCTTCTAAAGCCTAGCAAGCTGCCTTTGGTCAATTGTAAAATACTGTAAATTCAATTTTATGTTTGGCTGACATCCCTATAAACTGTAAGGAAATGCCAAGACCTTTTCCTAATAACTGCAAGCCAGTAATCATGGCCACAGGTAAAAATCACACAACTAATTCATCCTGTCTTTCCTGTCATCAGTGCAGTAATATCTTTCTCTCCTAACGCCCAAATGTGCAGGGGAAGAGTCCAACTTTGTCATTTTGGCACCTTTGAAGCCTGTAGTTAAAAATCTTTGTATAGATTTATTGTTTTAAAGTAAAGGTAGCTTTCAAAAACGCCCTCCACCCAGTGTTTGTAGGCAGTATATCCTTCCCAGGTGCACGATCCTGTAATCTCTGCTGGCAGCCAATGACAATTGCTTGCAAATGCAATGCTATTTGGAAAGAAAAATCAGCTGGGGATAAAGAAAGACGAGCAGAGAAAGTGATCAAATGCTCACAGAAATAAGTAGAAATACCACAACCTTCATCAGAGGACTGGATAGAAGAATGAATTGGACAGTTTCCGAGTTGTTAGCAGTGCTATACCTGCAAGTGTTTTCACTTGAGAACATGTACTGTAAGAAATTTTTACATAAGTTTGTTATTCTGTGCTGAGCAGTGCTTGTTGAAGGAAAGCAGTTCAGACCAAAGTTTTGTTTTTTTCTTTTCAAGAAAAAAATCACTATTGGCAAAATCAATTCCTTCTCTTCAGCACAATTGTCTCATTTTGGATGCAATTTTGAAATGATAAAATAAATGTTATTCAGTTATTTCATGGCATGTGTATTTATCTTACACACCACAGTTGTGCTATTAAAGAAGCAGTCTATATGACACCTGATGACACCTTTTCTGGTAGGGCCCCAGCTGGAGTGCTGTGTGTGACTTTGGACATCACACTTAAATAAGAGATAGGGCTCTAAGAAAAGAAAGTTGATGGCAAAAGGATAATCTAAAATCTGGTGTATATGACTGAGGAAAAAGTATTGAAGGAAATATATGACTGAGGGGAAAAAAAAAGTGCTGAAGAAATTTGGAGAAATCCAGAGAACTGAAGAAATATGAATGCTTTGGGCAATTCTTTAGGCAAGAACAGTCTGAGGGTCCGTCCTGTCCTGTCCCATCCCTTTCCCCCCAACCTTCAAATTTCTTCTACATCTATTTTCTTTTATCTAGTATGCATTATATGGCCCTGTCTGATCAGTTCATAAAAWACTGTATTTCAGTTTATTTAACTGCTTAAAATAGTTCCTAGCAACTACTGTAGGCATCTCTTATTTGTTACTGGTTACACATCTTTTCCACGTCAAAATATTTCCTCTTTGTTCTTCAGTGAAACACTTTGTTATGCCATGGAGTTATGCAGAAATAATGAGCATTAAATGAGAAAAAAAATCTCTAAGTGATGAGGTGATGTTTTGACATTTCAGSTTATGCAAAGCATTGAGCTGAACTACTTCTGCTGCTCAGTTTTCAGTCCAAATTGCAGCTGCACAGGTACCGCTAGAGATAGGGCGGCTGCCTAAGTGCAGATGTCTGTGGGTCCAGAGGAGGCCGTTTGCTTTCCTTGCATTATATGAACATCAGTGGGTTTGCAGGGGTTGGATTAAGATGCTGACGTTGAGCATTTCTCCTTTCCTRGAACAATTACAGCATCAGCAGAGCCAGAGCAAATTCCTCTGCTACCTCAAGGAGTGAGAGGCTGGATACATTTGCAAGTGCAACCCTTGGCATGTCTGAGCTAGGTTTGACTTGATTTTGGAGTTATGGGTAGGCAGTAAGTCAGAACTTAGATGACACCACCAACTCTTCCTACTTTACTATAAGAGAAGCAAGCAGATGTGCATGGCTTTTGGGCTGAGCATTTCTCAAGCCTGGGCACTGGAAGACACCACGGCAGAGTCATCTTGTCAAGTGTGCTGAGATGATTCAAAATGGAGCTACCTTTCCCTTTCCTGAAATGGGCAGGCATACGCTTCAGATATTTCATTTATTCTATTATGCATAACTATTTTAATTAATTAATTAACACTAATATTGGTACTCCTTATGTTTACAAATGGGCATATTTATAAGTGTGTTTCCTAGAGCCCTCCTCACTGGACAGTAGCTTCAAATATTTTATCCCAGTTCTTTTATTCAGATTTATTTTTATTGTTTACTTTCSAGCAAGACAGGAGAGTTTCAATTTGTAAAAAATACTAGGTGGATAGTGTGTTAAGTTACCTATTTTGCAGAACTGTTTCAGTACTTGTCTGGTGTATTTATGAGTAACCACTGAGACACACTTCCCTCTCAATTTGGATTTATAATGAAGTCCTGTGTTGCTGTGCAATTTTGAATAAATGAGATATGCTTAAGGGGGTTAAATATAGCTGAGTAACTGTGTAGATGGCTTCGATTAATTGTTATTAACTTCTGCAGGTATTAGTCACCATTTACTGGCTAGGGAAAGCGGCAAACAGCTGCACCTCATATAGTGGATCAACCCTGAACCTGAAGGAGTTTGAAGGTTTGCTGGCACAGATGAGAAAGGTATCTTTTTGTTATGTTTGGGGAATGGAAATGTATTTCAAATTATTAGTCCCATACATACTCTTTGTTGCTGTGGATGAAGGAGATGGTGGGCTGGAGAACAAATAGTAAACCCCTGCCTCCTTTGAAAACGTTTCTGGCTGTACCAAGCTGTAAACACAGCGCTTCTGGCAGCCGGCTCTGCGATGATATTAATGATGAAGCACTTGATGTGAAACAGGGCTTTACAACTGTCACGTGGCTCTGTCGTCTTCATTTCCCTAGCCTTTGGTTTGAATTACTTTCATTTATGACACAGTTTCGGCTAGAAGAGCTGAGACGCAGAAGTGAGCGAGCTGGACCCGGGGGAACAGAGGTTATTTTTTCTTTAGACGTTCAGGCTTACGGGCACCTCTTCCCTTATTCAGTGTCCAGTCAGAGTGCAAAGCACCAAGCCAGGTATCTAAATAAAGCCAAAGGCCAGAAGGAAGAGAATGTGTTTCCCAAAGGGCATGGCWGGGATGAACCTGTAGTTTGCCATGCTCCAAACTCTTGCAGCAAACAAATTTTGGAAGTGGCCCGTGATGAGTTGGGTTGTGTTGGCAAGGAAACATTGCTGTTGCTGCCGGGTGGTTTGGGCACCGCCGGCTGAGCACGACAGCGTTTCCTGGACCCAGGTCGGGGCTCTGAGCCCCACCAGTAGTTATTGTTGATACCCAAGTCTGCCTTAACTGGGGACAGAAGTGGGCAAGAACGGGTATGTGTGAAGACATCAGCTGAGTGGTGTGGCTGAGACTAAGCACCAAAGAAGTTGTTATTATGTAGGTGGTTTCCAAGTAGGAGATAGAGGGAAGAAGCAGTCCTTGCTCCAGAGAACTTGTAATCTCAAAGGTGAAACAGAGATGGACAAGGGAGCTCATGCAGAAAAACTGTCCAGGGGCAGTTTGCTATAGTGCTAGTGCCACATGGTGTCATAGTTTCATTTTTAATATTGAGTCTGACAGTGTGAAGCTCTTCTGAGTTGTATTTACCCATCTAAGTAATCATTAGAGCATTGAAGAGGTCCTCTTGGGTTCCTCGGGTGCGCTGAAGTAGCCTGGGCTCTCAAGGCAGGGTTAGCAGCAGCGCTGGTACCAATGTGTGTTTGAAAGAGCAGGGCGCTACAGGTAGGAGACAGAAGAGGCTGGACCGTGATTTGTTGCAGATGTTGGAATGGAAGCAGCGCCGAGACCTCATAAAAGCTGAAAGCTGTAYGTTCTTTAACGGAAAACCAGAGCACGTCTCAGCGCTCAGAGGTCTCTGTGGATGGTGCTGCTATGAGAGCGACCCCCTTTGTAAGGTCYCCTCTCTGCTCTGACACCCCCTCCGTATTTCAAATTGGCTCTTGGGGACTTTCTTGTTACCGAATTTGGAGACATTTGGTTGTAAAAGAGAACATGCTAATCATGCTGTGTARCACTGATGTGCCTTTTAGCTGAGACTGAGTGATGAAAAGACACTTCATTACATTCTCTACTGGCATTTTTTTCCACAGAGTTTAATAATTGAATCGACCGTRAATAATAGTTCAGTCTGTTTCAGTTTTTCTATTACAAATCCCCTCTCCCCGCTTTTTTTAATAAATCAAAAGACAGCKCGGATGTAAGTTGTCTTGGATCCATCTTTTTCTACTTCTCAAAATGAAAGAGCTATTCATTTCTAATTTTATTCATAGCTACTCTGTTTTTAATTTCATTAACTATTTGGCTATGCATTCTTCTCTGCTTTAAAACTGGCAGTTCCAAGTGACCAAGCGGCCCTGGTTTTGGTTACATTCAGAGGGCTGAGGTTCCTGCAGAAATGCATTTTACATACATCACACTTTCTATACCACTTGGTGACACRCTGTATATCTAATTAGGTCATGTGAAAGCCTGAGCGTGCTGCACCATGGCACTGTCAGCCTTGCAGATAACCACTCTCTTTCTTCCCACTGCTAACATTTGGGAGATGATATTTGCTCAGTGCAGGGCAAGTATTTGCGAGACAGTGTTTCGCTGGGTGAGTAGTTTGCCAAGGGGAAGGCTATAAAGAAAGGCCGGGATACCATCCTGGGGCCTGCCTCTTAATTCCTGCTGATTTGCATGCAAAATTAACATAAACAGCCCTTTGAAAGCCGGGCAGCGGCGCTCATTAGTTCACAATTGGACTGTTTTCAAACTCTGAAAAGATAGGGAATGCGGGATGGGGCTTTCTGCCTTGCTTTGAGSCCTGTGGCTCTCACTTCTTTCTGTGTGTTTCGAGTGCAGTAATTTCAGAAAATGGAAGTGAGCCTGCGCACTGAGCATAGCCGATCAGTATGGAGAGACAAGGAGCTTTAGAGAATTTRGATTTCAGAAAGCTTTTGGGCCGTTTCTCCAACAGGATTTTAATGGGATTTTTGGTTTTGTTCTTGGGTCTGTGTAAATCATGCCGACTCCAGGGAGACAAATCTTTGTTGTCTGGTGTTTCGCTGGGTATGCTGGTTCACACGCTAAGCAGGACCAGAGAAGGAAATTACATAGGGTTGAGCTACTACTTTGTTRGATATTTTTTGTTTGCTTTTTGAAAACTCATGTCATTTTGGTCGGCAGCGAGGCTGCTTTTTGGCACCACCACAGTTTAGCTTGGCCTTAGGGAACCTTTGCCGCTGTCCTTGCCGCCGCGTTTTGGCAGGGGGCTGGTGAGTGCCGCTAATGAAGCCTTCCTCCTGGAAAGCCTGCGGGATGCAGGGGCTGAGCTTTCCCTCCAAGCCTCCCTCTTTTCCAGCATGGAAGCCTCTGTGTGATACTGCAGCCCGCTGCTCCGTGCGTTGCTGCTCCCCAGCAAGCCTGCCCTGTCCCCCCGTCGCAGCAGGCGGGGATGCTCGTGCTCCGTCTGCTCAGGATGGTGCTGGTGACGGGGGAGACCTTCGCAGCCCCGGGCAGCAGGAGCTGCGCTGAACGCAGCCGTTGTGCTCCAGCGAGCTGGAACCAGGGGGTGCTTTTTAATTAGGAATTAATATTCAAATGCTTCTGGGAAGAAAAAAAACTGCATTCCAACCTCTTTGGGCTGCAGAATGTCAGTCTGATAATAGCACCCACATCTCTGGCTTTGCTTACTGTCGGGGAAGAAAAAACAGATTTATCTTTGAAGAAAAGTAGTTATTTTTGGTGTTCTCGGCCTGTGCTATTGTAATTAATGGTAAGACACTCACTGAAACAAGGATTTTATTATAATGCAAGGGTGAGGATGGCTTCTATTGACCTTTCCCTCTGCTGGAGTTTCAGTGTTTTAGTATGTGCTGCTTGCACTGGAAAGAATTTATAATCACAGGGCTGTCAAAGACAACCATTGTTCTCACTGCTCTGAACATGTGGGTCAGCTACAAGTGCTTTCATATCCCCCAGAGCCGGGAGCTGGCAGAGAGTAAAGAGCACAACTGAATTCTTCTGAGGCATCAGGAAAAGCATTTTGCATATTTTTCATTGCTGATTGCTTCAGAAAGACATCCCTCTTTCATAACAGGAATTTCTCTTCAAGGTAGAGGGAGGCTGGGGCACACTGCTTCATTATTTTGCTGAGCTGAAGCAGCAACAACAAATGCTGTCCGCTGGTGTCCCAGCCAGATACAATAGATAGGCAAGGGGAGGAGAGAAGCTTTTGGAAAGCAGCAGACGTAAACTGGATGCAGGCAAGATGTTAAAACTGTAGTTCCTTTTGCCCGGGCTATGGACTATGGACAGCAAGTCAAATTGCAGGTCTCTCTCAGTTTTGATCAGTTTATTAACCTCTCTACTGCAGCTTTTCCTCAGATTGTCACACTAACCTAATGAGCATGGCTTCTTCTTAATCAGCATAAAATTGGGGTTTATGGCAACTTCGCACTTCTGCTCTGAAGGGAAAAAGGGGCAGAAAGCAAATCCTCTGGGGGGGAGGAACGTTTTAGTGCTTTAGGAGATGCTTTGCTGTTGACGCACCTCGCCGGTGTGGCGGGGGCTGCTCTCTGAAGAGGTGCCCGCTGTCCTTGCGTGCAGGAGACGGAGGAGATCGAGAGCCCCAAGCGCAGCATTCGGGACAGCGGCTACATAGACTGCTGGGACTCGGAGCGCAGCGATTCCCTCTCGCCGCCGCGCCACGGCAGGGATGACTCCTTCGACAGCCTGGACTCCTTTGGATCCCGCTCGCAGCAGACGCCCTCCCCAGATGTAGTGCTCCGAGGGAGCAGTGATGGTGAGTACGGGCACAGGGGGGCACGTGCCTAACTTTGCGACATATAAGTGGTGTTTCTGGAGTCCATATGGGGTYCAGCAGCTGGACACAGCCCAAATCCTGTGAATCCAGTGGGAGAAACTCTCTGTSAAGGCAGATTTCTGCTTTCTCAAGGCTGAGATGACTTTGCCAACAGCTTTGCTGAAAYCTGAGTTAGGGCAGCGTGGTGTTGGAAAACGAATGACATCATAGCAGTGTAATTTTATGATGGGAAAGTGCTTGTCTGGGCTACTGTGTAAGAGGATGTTGTGCAGATAGATTTTAATTTATCAGCTAGGCTGAGGCAAGGAGAATGGCATGGGATTGGGGAGATATTGAAGTAAAAACAATTCTGCCTAAATAAATCATGGGCAGCTAAATGAAATAAAGAAGTGTTTTGGAAATGACTGATATTGGGCAGCCTTTTGAAGTCCMATAGAGAATGTCTTGACGACTGCCACATTTGTGCTTCCATGGTATTTAGCAAGTTGGTAACATGAGAGCTCCGAGCACCAGAGCTGTGGTTGTCTTGGTACACCGTTGGTTCTGGATGTGCAGCTCTTGGCTTGTGGAAGSGGGGCTGCTTCCCTGCAAGTCCTGTGGGATTCACAGAGGCTTTCTGAGGCTCTGTGTGCAAACACAGGGCCCTAGATGAAGAAATGTTCACTAGGGAGTAAATGTAGAGCATGTGCATRGTTACCTGTTTTGAGATGGATTCCAGTTCAGAACAAGACCTTTCATTTGGGTTCCCTGGGTCARTTGGGTCAGTTGAACATCATCATTGTCAGATGAAGTTATATTCCACATGTGAATCACTTCTCTGCCACAAATTTCTTTCTTTATTTATTTAATAAAAGAAGAAAGAAGGGCAGGGAGACTTTCTGACAGGAATCAGCTGTTACATGGCCTTTGGCAGTGTGAAATGAGCTGCTGCTAATCCTAACCGGATACATGAGAGCTGCTGAGGTGACGAGGAACTCCTTAAAAGTGCAAAGCTGGCAGAGAGAGTTGGTATCAGAGATGTATTGTTAAAAAGCTGTGGGGACAGCAGCTCTGCGTTCTGCTCTGCTCTTTTTGAGAGGCGTGTGATACTGGGGCTGCTGCAAATAGATCATCTGGATCCAGATCCTGGAACTGGTTCCCTGAGATGTTGTATCCCCAGGCACCAAACTGGGGTATCCCCAGGCTGCARTAGGAGAGTCTCCACATTATGAAGTGTTTTTCTGCCTACCTAAGCTAGACAAAAACCCAGGACTGACAAATAGGAACACCTCATGTGTCCTGACTGAGAAGTGTTGCTCTGTTTTGGGCTGTCTGGGAGTAACCAGTGTCCCTCCCTCTTTGGAGCTGCTCCCTAGCTGGTTACAGGTGTCCCATAGCTGCTTCCTGTCGGCTCCTGCAGCAGCAGCAGATTTCAGTATGAGGTATTTCAGAAGACTCTGTGGTGACTTCTTTGCCACAGCTAAGGCATACCATCTTGTCCTACTTTTGAGAGTTTTGACCTCCTTCTCTGGAGATCCTCAAAATCCACCYRGATGCCACYTTGTGCCACRTGCTCTGGGTGTCCCTGCTTGAGAAGGAAGGTTGGACTAGGTGATCTCTAGAGGTCCCTTCCAACCTYAACCATTCTGTGATTCTGTGAGTACATAACACAAGACACAAGAAAAGAGGCAAACATACACAGTTTGTTCTTGAAAATTAGCCTTTAACCATATGCAGACGCTGGGTGCCTGCAGCTGCTGTGTGCGTGTGTAGGATGTGTCCAGCGAGCCCCTCCTAATACATCCTTGCAATAACTTCACAACTGTCTCCTCCAAGAGTTGCAGCTGAGGTGTAGCTTGGCTGACCTCCCTTCTGCCTAACCTCTCCCCACGGCCCCAGCAGGCCAGAGTTTCATTCGGCTGGATGTGATTTTGATAGAAATAATGTATATGCAGAACTGGATGCAGGAGGTGATTTTGCCTTCTTTCCATCTCCCTCTTTCTGGATAACAGTTTTATAAACCCAAGAGTGTGATAGCAAAATAGGTTTATGACTCCTGCTATTCTTAGAAAAAGAAAAAGGGATGGAGATCATTTAAGTAACTGTGCAATTATGATGATTAGTTAAGATTTGATCATTAATTAGAAGTAAGACCACCTTCACTGATGCTGTATGTGGTCAGCATCTCTGCTCAGGAGCTGCCACGGTGCCCTACTTGGGCCCTGTCACCTGGCAAAAAGCGAAGAGAAACAGTTGTAGGCAAGAGCAGCTTGTTCAAAAGCTGCAGAAGAGCAGTCAGACCTGCCCTTAGAGCGCAAACGTACTCAGGGATGAGTGAAACGTGTTGCTTGGAGGGCAGGAGTGCACAGGTTCCTTCAGGAACCCCTGGCAGGTCCTTTCACTCGCTGCCGAGTGCCTCTCTGTAGCGTAACCGGCTGCGCTGTGTGGACTGCGACTCTTCCTTTGCATGGGAAAGAAAAAACACACAGTTAACATTATAAATGGAGAACATGGTGAACATGGTTTGAGCTCCCAATCAGCCCTTTCTTAATGTTTGGTTGGTTGGTTTTTTGGTCTTYTTCTGGAAAATTTGAGCTGAAAATAATTTTCTGAGTAAAATGCAAATAGTTAAAGAAGCTGTTTGYCTTTGAAGCACTGAACTTGGCCATGCTTGTAGGCGTATAAGCAATTCCTCTGCCACTGTGGTTATCTGCTCCAGCATTTCTGTCTGCCAATTCAAGATTAATTTTCATGTGATACAAAAATAAACACCAGAACAAAGTCGAGAGCAAGTAGAATAGCAAACAACATGAAGGGATCTTTTCATTTGCTTTTAGCTCCTCAGTGGCCAGCTCGGCCTGTTGATACCACACTTCTTCAAACCTCAGCTGTCCTCAGACACTYGTGACTCTGTGGTTGTCTCCACTTTTTGTTTACACAGTCTGAGGTCCCGTTAATGATGCTACGTATCATTTGCTTTTAACCAAAACTGGCCAAACAAAATGTACTGSCATGGAAATATTCTGTGAATTTGTCTAACTAGCTCATTCCTATTGTGTCTTGTCCTTTCTTGCTGTTCCCTTCCTCTCTTCTTCATCTCTTTCCAAGCAAACATTGAATAACTCAATCTGCTGCAAAAGCTCTTTGCAAAATAACATTCCTAGCATATTTAGTCCTCTTTTCCTCCCCTCACTTTGAGTTATACACAAGCTACTTGTGATTTTTATGACTTCATTGTTCTCAGTTGTTCATTAGGTAGCTCAGTGAATTAGCTAGTAATTCACTAGCTCAGTGGATTACAAAGAAGACACAAATTGGGTGGCTTCCTCCCTCCTCAAGAGGGACAWTAACTGTTGCCCATGCAAATCTTGCAAAAGGGAGCCAAGAGCCGGAGAGATCCAACATCCCAAAGTTGGGAAAAGGTCTGAATGCTGAAGGGTGGATATGCAYCATTTCAGTCATCAAACCAGGCCCTGTGGTGATGTTATGCCCTTGGAAGAGAACAATTTACAYGAGTTCTTATTGAACTACTTACAGACCCCAGATGATGGAAGGAATCTAATGATTGTCTRTGAAGTGACTTCCCACATGACTATGTGAGGAAAGTCCCACTGCAAATGTTCTTTAAGTTATTCATCCTACCATTTGTGAGTTGTCCTTCCATTTTCCAGGATAAGCCTTGCCTAAGTTTCGGTGAATATTTTTTTAAGGGAGGGTAAATACCACAAAGCTGACTTAATTTTACTGAAATTAACGAAGTGTTCACTCRGTTCCTTTCATCTCCCAGCTTGTTCTCTGTAATTCTTAGTTTTTCTATCTCATGTTATTTCTTTTCTTTGCCAAGAGATATTCAATCTTTACCGTACTGATCTAGCCATCAAATGCTATAGATGCCGTCTCTCTCTTCTTGAACTTTTCCATCTCWGGATCAGATCTGTGCCTATTTTGCACTGTGCTAGAATGATTGACCTAGTGACCAGCGGGAATGGAGACAGATGGTCTGAGTCCATGAACCAGCTGAAGCTTATTCTTAGATATTAGTGACCAAAGCTGACACCATGTGCCATTCATGTGCCATGAACTGTTGAAAGTGCCTTTGTTCCAAGTCTGTAGAAATATTCACAGGTCCGTGCCATCCTGTAAGTACATAATGTGCCTTTCTTGGCTTGAGCTTGTGATTTGCAAGCCTAGGTTCAAAGAATGTGCATCAAATCACACAAACCCATACATAGGGCTTGACAGAAGTCAGAGAAGCATCTGTAAGTGTTTTGTATGATGGTTAATCTGATCATGAYTTTTTGTGACTGTCCTGAATTGTGACAGTAGCTGCAGATTGTCTTTTCAGGGGCAGAAAATGCAGGCTGGCTGAAAAATACAGTATCTACTCTCTCTGTAGTAATGGCCACTATCAGTGACTGATTTTAAAAGAAAATACAGGTATAACTGGCTTCAGTTTTTGGTCCTCACATTGTAATTTTTTTTTTTGATGGTGTCGTTACTGATTTATTAAAAGAAAAGCTTTGTGGTGAAGAGAAAAAGTACATTTTTTTTGTTCTCCTTCCTCACTAGGGAGAGGAAGTGACTCTGAGACTGACCTGCCACACAGAAAGATGCCGGATGTGAAAAAAGATGATATGTCTGCAAGGCGGACCTCCCATGGGGAACCTAAATCAGCTGTGCCTTTTAACCAGTACCTCCCAAACAAGAGTAATCAGACTTTCTATGTCCCCGCTCCGCTTCGGAAAAAGAAGGCTGAACGGGAGGAGTATCGGAAGAGTTGGAGCACTGCAACGTCGCCCCTCGGAGACAGGCCATTCAGGTAAGACTGGCTTGTCCAACATCTCCCTTCCTCAGTGAGGATGATTTGAACATTTAATTTTTATTCTTTCCATCAAAAGTGCAGAGCACCTTCTGTGGTAATAGATCTCTTGTCAAGGTGGTACTGATGAATTGTTTGCAGCAGTGGGGGAAGATAATAGAAGAGCAACAATGAGTGGAAAATCATTGTCTTGACGTCATTAATGTTTGCCACGCAATGCAATCTATATATACATGGTTTATGTTTGACAAGATGTTAATAAATGTAAGTATGATGGGTGTCAACTCAAAACTGAGACTTAACAGAAGTGTTTGGACAATCTCTGTCACTGCCAAAAGATTCTTATAAGTAGTATTTGATATATTTAATCAAAATAGGTAATATTTTGCTATGTTTAAGTATTAATTTGCTTGTGCCTTATATCCTATGTAAGAGTACTGTTCACAGAGCAGCAGCTGTCTGCTGGTTTTGTCAACTGGGATTTCACTCTTGGCTCCTGAGCAGCTTCCATTAAAGAACATAGTTGTCCTCCCAGGTCATTCATCAAAATATCCTTTGAAGTTTTGATACCAGCGAAATGTGCTTACAATAAATACATACCTATCAGGCACAATGTACATTAAACTGCCTTGTATAATTCAATAGCAAAACCCACCCAGAAACCATAGAGGAAGAACTGACCGAAGCATCGGGACCCTGTGAAAAGGAGGGAGTGGGCTCCGTGCCTCTGGAGACAAGCCCCACTCAGAATGAAGTAGGTTTGAATCAAAGCAAAGAAAGCTCCATAGGCAACTCTGCTGCGTGTAGTGCTAAAGAAACACCAGCGTCCAAAGGGAAAGATGAGGAAGAGCTCAGAAAATTAAGAAGACTTGAACAAGCTGGCATCAAGGTGATGTCAGCAGCGCAGCGCTACGGCAGGTTAGCCCGGCCACCTGGGAGACTGTGCACGCTTCACGTTTGTAGGATTGCCTGGAGTGTGGATTTCCTCATTCCCACTTTTTTTTCACGTCTCCTAACAAAAATCCAGGCTTCTAAGCACGCACAGTTGCTAGTGTTTTCGTGGAGGGCAYGGTGGGAAAAGGCTTGCGATGTGGTAGTTGTGCGTTGCAGAGCTGTGTGGTGCTAACTGCATCTGTGTGGAGAAATTGTGYTGTGTAACAGAAACAAATTCCAAGGGAACAAATGCACAGAATGCTGGGCACTTTCCCCTTGGTGCCTTGCTTTTATTAAAGAAATACATGTGTGTATGTGTGCTTGCACATATATTTGTATACACATATATTTATACGAAAATGCCTTATTCAGGGAAGTTTCAGGAATTCACTCGTTTATGATGGGATGTTTTTGTTTACTGAATCACACTTTTTATGTGGTTAGTRCTTTTTAGCTGTGTTAATAAATGATGCAGGAACTATAAAAACACACTGCTTGTTAACACATATACCAATTAAAACATGTAAGTATAGTCCAGCGATCGTAAACTGACCACCTCAGGCATGTAGTATTAGTAATTATTCACTTATTACCTATATTGCTTATTTTTGGATTCTGTTCAATTTGGKTTTTTTCTCCTCTTTAACTCAAGAGCTGAATGAGGGCTTGGCTCTTGGCCCGTGCCTTTCCATGATCCAATRCAGGATCCTCATGAAAACTGTCTCTTTCTCAGGCGGATGGCCAACAAAGCAGAGCTTTAACCAACATATCATAAGGGCAAGTGCTTAAAAATGATGAAAATGGTTTGGGTAAAGGTCAAGTTTCCATATGTCCTCCCATCCAAAATATTTTCTTTAGWTGCTGAGGAAGATATCCATCAAGTTTCTGTTCAGAACTGTGCAGCTTGTAGAGAGTCAGTAAATTGCAGGGTAAGGACCTGACAGTGAGTAGTTTAGCAGGTGCCAGTCCACASTGTGGGCTTTGAAGCACTGCAGTGGAAAGGACAGCTCTTAAGTGAGACCTCTGGTCTATCAATTTAGTGAAGTTTGTCTGCTACCTTGTGTGGATGTGTCATATACCTATACAGTCACATTATATACACAGTATATGGCAGTCTTGTTCTCAGGCGTCTTTCACTATAGTCAAGTCATAATGAACTAGGGTTTTTCTGTGGCTGTAGGTACTAATATGTAAACAAATAGTAATAGAGAGGAGACTGGCAACTCTAAGCTAGTCCTTTTGACCCAGTTAGTGTTTTGGTTGATCAGGAGTCCGTAAGCTCACAGCATATTAGTACAATCACATTCTGGGTCCAAGGCTGTAATGTTAATGGTAAACTATAGTAGTAGTTTTGTGTTTAGTGGTACTGGGCAGAGCAAGTACTATTGCTTACATTTGTATTTGGCAGATGCTCACCACCTTATTGTGGCAACCCCTTCTCCAACCTTGTCCTTCACGCACAGGCTTAATCTGCAAGACAAAAGCACRTGAGTGTGTGAGATCTGACCCTGGCAGGGCTGAAGGAGAAGGGAGCAGATACAACGAGCCTTYTTCCCTCCTTGCTCTTGCTAGAAGCAGCTCCTGGACTTTGGCAGCTGGAGAAAGGGGAAGCTGATGGCTCTCTGCCCCAGCTTAGGGTCAAAGAGCAGAGCTTGGTGGCTCAAACTTCATCATAGTGAAACAGCAACCTCRCCCTGGGGACTGTAGGAAAACATGGAGGAAAAGGTACAAGGTACAGAGGTCTGTAAGAAAAGTGATTTTTATGTGTAAGTGGAAGAAAAAGGATACAGGGGAGTATTTCATCATCTTTCTTGATGCTTGATTCTCAATTCCTGTTCTTTGAACCCCTGATTTTTTTCTCATTTCTTCTCATCAAATTTAAATGTTCAAATTTAAATGTCTTTGCAGTGATGGCACTGAGCAACTGTCAGCCTCTCTTGCTCTGTATTCTGATCTTTCCTATTYTGGCTCCTCATCCTCCCCTCACCTTTCCATGATGCCAGCCTCTTCCTTTTCCCACCTGAGATTGTCCATTGTCCTCCACTTGCTCTGAGCTTCTCAACAGATTTTCCTCTTAGTGTTTTCATCTCTGGAGCGTTAGTTTCAACCAGTTGTTCGTAAAGTTGAAACTAAGGTGAGGATCTTCTTGGGTCCAACACAGGAAGGATTTRAGCATTTATGCAAATGTATTATTGAAGTATGTGAATTCCTGGGGCACGTTCCAGGAGAGGACAGCATTGAACTCGATATTGTTGCATGCCCCAAAGCATTTCCCCTTCCTAAAGGAGTATATTTATTCTTTATAGCATGTTTTCTTGATGCATGATCCACTTGCTTGCTTGCTGTGTGCCTCTGTCTCCTAATTACACTCTCACATCTGCAAGGTAAGCATCTGATTCCTGGAGACTTTATGAAAAGAGCAGGAGAGTTAGGTCGGCTGTAGAAGACGGTGAAGTGGGGAGAATGAGAGAGATGCGAGCGAAACAGGAAATCCTGGCCTATCTTCTGGGAAAAGGATGTGAGCCCTTAACTTGCTAATTCATAAGCTGCAAAATCCCTTTGTTGTTTTGAAAAGTAATGGAGGAATCCAGAAGCCTGGGTGAGACTCTGCTTCAGGAGCACAGACGCCCACAGGCTGGCACTTCTGASCACAGTGCCTGCTCTATCAGCACGGAGCAGTGGGGTGTTTCTGCAAGCCTGGGGAGAAGGGCTGGCAAATAAATCCAAAGTGAATTCCCCTCCACTGCAGCTTCACAGCTACACTCTTTGCCGCCTGCAGGGTAAAGTGAACTTGAAAGGCTCTCTTGAGACGCTCACATTCTGATTTAGGAGACCCCGAAATGTCACAGCTTATCTCTGGTTCCATTATAAACAAAATGTTAATGAATAGGAAGTGTGCTTAACATAGAAACTGATCCCTGAAGTGTGGTTCGTGTTAAAGGCTTCAGTTATTCAGACAGTCATCACAATGATTCATAGTCATTCTTCTGAATATCATAACTCCATATTTCTCTGTTAATGAAAAAAAAAACTACTCAAAAATGATTTCATGCTCCAAGCTTTAATAGTATTGATGAAAATGAGATTGAAAAATCCTATAGTTCTTATTCACTGCGTAATCACTCCTTTATGTATAACTCTTAGAAACTAAAAGTATAAAACACCACAACCGAACCAGCCAAATAAATAAATCATCTTATTGGTCTTCATTGAAGAAGTGAATATAAGCACGATATAGTGGAGTATTTTGCGATTTTRCAAATGCCTGTTATGTCTAGATTACTGAAAATTATTTCCAAATTATTACTTTTTCTGTGATATAATAAATGGTAATCGTTCCAGCAGTAATGTCTGGTAAAAGATAATTGAATTTAATCATAGTTACCCTAGCTTACTTAAAAGCAATGCCAGGATATGTGCAGTTTACATTACTGTTGTTCTTTGAGCCCAATACTTTAGGCACAGTTCATTTCCTTTGGATCAGTTCATCTGCTCATTAGTTTTCGTATTCTTCCAATGGAGAAGCAAAAGATGCCTTAGGAGGGCACAGAGGGAAAATTAGACTTTCTTTATTTAGGACTCTCTCCATGGTGGTCATCTTGTGCTTACCGTCTTACAGATTTAAAAGGCAAATTGGATTTAGCAAATCACACTAATGTGTTGACAGCTGGTGCTTTAGGATTGAGCGAGGTTATGTACCTGTTCAACCTGTGAAATTTGAACCAGAAGAAGGGCTTATAGACCAATTCATTTTGGTATAAGTCGGTATCGTTAATAAACTTTTTAGAGTATTTTTGGAGAGCGTCTACTTCAGAGAGATGCGTGGAGGACCTGCCTTTGGCTAAGGCAAGAGCAGGCCCTCCATGCCACCAAAGCAGCCCAGGGCTTGGCAGGGTGGCAAGGCCGAGACAGGCCGCTTGTGTCGCTCCTCTGTGCGCCGAGTCCTCAGCGAGGTTGACCTGTTGCCTTCTTCTGCAGTTGGGTTTGTCAAGGCTGGGGCCACAGCAAAGTGGTGTGTACAGAGAGTTTGCAGGGCGTTCAAATGTTTTAAAAAGCCACAACTAATTATAACATTGGTGTTTTCTAAAGTGAGGGAGAATTATGAAGCAACCCTTTATCTGTTTAGATTTGCTGTCTTAATGTCAGATTGTTTCATCCGATGTGGCACTGTGTTTTTGTAGCACACGAGATATGCCACCAGAAAGAGGAGATGTGGGATATTTGCAGCCTATAGTAGCATCACACGGAAGAATTTAGTACTTGCTACCTAGATTCCTAAAAATCATCTGATAAACCTTTTTTTTCCCCCTTCTTTTGAGGAGAGTTACCTAGCTCTTGCCATCTGTCTTTTCAGTTTGCTTTAGAATATTGACCGTTGCAAGTTAAAATAAGCTTAATCTGCTTGGACACCAGCTGTCAAGGGCTTTTGTTGTTTTAATCTTCAGCCACAACAAGTTTATGTTGGTGTCAGTGTCCGTTCTGTTTAAAACAGATGGCACTGACTGCCAGGATCCTTGTGCACTCAACACTGTTGCATGGCAGTGCTGCTGTAGAGGACTTCTTATTCTGAGGATGAGAGAAGGTTGGGAGGGAAAGAATCAAGTGTGGATGTCTGTGAGAAGAAGAAGAGTTAAGGATATTAGGGCATGTATCTCAGTGATTAATCAGGTCTTTTTAAGTTTATCAGAGCTGTTACAAAAAGAAATTCCCAAATATTGGCTATTCCAAAATTCAGGAGTACTGCCCAGGGGTAAATTACCTGAAGCATTTAAGAATAATACACCATTTGCAATACTATGTTCACTACATCTGTTATGCTAAGCCAGTGTTCACTGTTTCTTCTAGCTATAGCTGCTAATTTTCCATGTTTGAAGGATTTGCAGATTTGTTACCCATGTATGATATGTTTTTATTAATAGCAAAGCTTTGCCAAATCTAACAGCATCCTGGTGCACGTGTGATTAACTGTGCTTGTGTTGTGGCCTGGATGCGAGTGTTGCCACTGCCCTCTCCTCTCCTGGTGCATCAAGAGCTGTCTTTAATTTTGCTCCGTGTCAGTAAAAAGCAAACGTGCGGAGACAGCGGCAGCCCCCCAGACATCATCCTTCGCAGGGACAACCCCTTCATGACGCTTTACCAGGGGAAGGATTCGGGCTCCGAAGATGAAGCAGCCAGCAGAGTTCCTGATTTAGAAAAGGATGATTTTGCCACTCGGAGAGCCAGAATGAATCAGCCCAAACAACCGGTGCCATTTAACGCTTTTTTAATTGGACCCTATATAAATAAAGATAAAGGTAAACTGGAAGACATTAAAAAGCCATTGCAGATGGAAAAACAGGAACATGCAAGGTGTGCACGCATGGTCTTTTTCTTTCAATTATAATGCTTAATTTCACTCAGACTATTGCTATATAGAGCTAAAGACATCTTGGCAACAAAACCTTAGAGGGTAAAATAAATGCAAGTGCTTTATCCTAAAGGGAACAGAATGTTCATAGATAGATTGCCTAATGTATTCTTTTGCTACAGTGTCGGGACCAGTAGTCTAACCTGACTATGACTGTAAAATAAGATAAAGACTGACACTTTCACTGTCTAAGCTGAGACAGCTCATGAACATGGATAGTGGAAAATAAACTTGAAAGACAGGTTTTGCATACAACTTCTCCTTTCAAGTGATGAGCATTTAGATGCACATTTTCTTTTTCATTTAATACCATTCTTTTAGTAATCTGCATAAATATGGACTCAGATAAGATTTTAGTTAATGCACTGAAGATATCCTGTTGCACACAATTCTACCACTTCTTATAGAACATTTTTTTTTAATAAAGCAGAGATTACAAGCTTTCAGCCTGAAAAATCTCTCTTTCTTCAGTTCAGTGACACAGAGCTGACGTGTTACAGAACATAAGTATCTAATATACTTATTAGATAATCAGTACCTAATTTTCCAGGAAACAAATTAATTTGCTTTTTTGGTGAAAATAGTTTTATCTAGATGAAACTATGATATATGCTTTATGTAATACCTGATACATTCAGAAAACCTCTCTTATTATCTAGTAGCACTTTTCAGTCATATAAAATGTGTCTTTCAGTTGTTGAAATTGCTTTATATTAACATGCTTTAATGAGTAGTTTGGCAGGGCATCTGAAGAGGTTATAACCAAATTTTAGTATTCGAATGCTATTGATGTGGCTGTAAGATAAAAAGAATTCTGTAGTATATTTGGGAGTAAACCTTAATTTACTTTGCTAATAATATGAAAATGAGATATTTGTAACTATTTAAGCAAAAACTTCCTGCAGAAAGTTTTAATACAAGAATGATGCCAAGATTTTTTAGCCTAAGCTAGGAACAGAAGTCATGCAATGAAGTGGTCTCAGCCGTGCATGAGCAGGGTAGTTTAGATGAGATGTTCCAGCTTCAAGTGATTCCATGCTTACTTCCTAAAATAAATCTTTTTAAAACTCTACTTATCAATTCAATCTGTCTTCTTGTACTCTGAACCACTTTTATTGACACTGATTTATCATTGCTCCTTCAAAATATCTTTTCTTGCTGAATCGGATCGTGCATTCAATTAGAGGAAGCCAGATGCACATGGCATCGGCAAGGCAAATAGTGACACACACAGAGAGCTCATTTCTGCAAGCTAAGAAGAGTGAGTCCAAGGAGGAAGAGGAAGGCAAAGCGCCTGATACTGAGCGAGCTGATCTGGCTAAGCGGAAATCTCAGAGCACCCTTCCTCAGCAACGAGAAGATGCATTTGTGAATGCCTCTATAATAAAACCAGATCTGAAGACCTGGAAAAGACTGAAATTGCTGGAGGAGTCCAGGTATGATTTTGTTTCTGTTCTGCAGACAGGATTGGCCCGCTAGGAAGCATGGTTTTTTTTGGTCAAAACCCTGTGTGTGTGCTTGTGTTTTTGAACTCGAAGAATGCCTTGATGACAACCGCTCTTTAACTATTTAAATATCCAAGAGGAGTCCAAAATCTATGTAAGAATGTAATCATGAACTGCAAGTTGGTATATAAGCTAGAATATTTATAATATTTCCACAACCAAGGTGGATGCTCTAAATGCCTCATGGGAAGGGCCTCTCTTGTCTTGTGGATGAGGCTTTCAAGGAGCTCTAAACTGAATAGCACAAAGGTTCTTTTTACGTGGACTCACAGCCCCAGGAGGCTGCTGCTAAGCAAGCTATCTTCAGGATTGTGACACTAGCCCTTGGTGGGGCTAATATGAATCATCATCTCTCTGTATTAATGTGTCTGCATTGCTTGTGAGACACGAGCTAATGCATCTGCATGGCCTGGTGCCAGACTGAGTCGATACACAGTTTGTCACGACAGTGGGAGTTTCAGGAGTCCCACTGTACGGAGCAGATACACTGTTCATGTAGACAGAGAGAACTAGTACCCAGCAGTTATTCTAAGCAATTTCCCTGTGGAGATGGGCAATATGCACTATATGCAAGTGATCTGTGACCCCGGTAGGTGAGGATAACAATTCTTTGCTTTCCTGTGTAGGTACAAGCCAATTTTTCAATTCAAGTTAGCCATCTGCTCAGGCATTCTTCTTGCAGTGTTTTTACAGCGCGTAACTTTAATACAAACCACCACCAATCATTCTCTCATCTCAAAGATACTAGTAGTCTCTACATTGCTTTCAAGGTGAATTATTAAGTGTGCCCTTCAAGTCAAGATTCGTTGAGTGAAATGACTGCAGGTGCTTTTGCTTTCATGCCGCTGGTCTTCCCCTGTGACAATACTGGTGTTGTCTTTTTGGGTGTATTGGTGCTTTGCAGACCCACATAGCATGACCCAGATCTAAGGGGGCAGGACTTGGAGCTTTGGCTTTGTTAGGGTGAAGAGCTAAGCCTGGATGTGCCACATGCTGCGCTTCTTTCCAAAGAAAGGACTTGCATGGATGCGTGCAAGAGTTTCCCCTGCAGGTCCATGGCATCTTTGAATTTCTGCTGTCATTTGTGCCTCAGCATGACACTGATACTTGTACTTGTGTCCTTGAATCTTAATAATAAAAAGGAACCTCTAAAAGTTATAAGAACGTTTCCTTTATTCTGGATCTCATTTTGGGGGTATTCTTTTATTCCTCATTCTGATTAGTGAAGAAGATTTTGAATGTCCCTCTGACACTTGGCCATCGGCTGAAATCACAGTGAAAGCAGCAGCCTGTGATGATTTCGCTGTCCGCAAAGCGAGAGCAAACAAAAAAGCCAGTAGCCCCAAGCAGAAGTTTGTGCATTTTGGGCCAGTAACTGAGATAGATCAGCAGAAGTGGGACAAGCTCAGTATTGGCAAAGCTTCCTCCAGGAGTAAAAAAGAAGAGGAAAACAAGAAGGATGTTGTGGACACTCACACTGATACTGGGAGTTCTTCTCCAACCACTGTTGACATTTCCCAATCTGCTGGAGACAGTGAGGAAGTCTGTAGGCCACAGAATGATTCCAGGTATTCAGTGTGGCTTAGGAAACGCTGCTGAGTTGTAAAGAGCATCTTGCAAGATGCTGATCTGCATGGCTGTGGAATACAGCATATGTTTAAGAGCTGTTTTATGTGCACGGCCTTGGCCAGAATTCATCTGATGCCTTCACAGTATTTTAATGTGTTCCGGGGTTTGCCAAACAGTGCAGTGCAGATGTCTTCAAAGAGCTCGTCTCAAAATTTCTGTTTCATAATCAACTCACTAGTATCTCTAATTCTGAGCCATTGCTAAAGCTTTCTGCTTCTGGAATTCCAGCAGCTTTGCTCTGCCTGCTTTCAGTACTTTAGGAATTCAGCTTTCTAGCCCTACTGACTTTAAAAAAAAAACTTCAAATCTATTGGATTTACCTTCTTTCTGAAGATCCAGTGCCAAAACCAAGGTGCATTGGTGCTCTGTGTTTCTGGCATTTATCTAGAAGAGAACTACAGGCCTGGAAATTAAGACCGGAGCTTAATACAATCTTTGTATTGACCAGAGCTTGTATTTATTTGGCTTTTGTTTATCTAATTGCTTAGTGAGTGGCTGCAGCAAGAATTTTAATGAATGCTTTTAGCAAGCAATTCATTTAGTTAAGTTCGTGTATTCATAAAATATCTGTAAGCTGCATTGAAAGACTCTTCTTCCTATGCGTGGTTTGATCTGAGAATGTTGTCTTTCTCACTCCTTCTCTCAATCTCTTTGCTGCTAGTGAGGTAGCAAGGTCAGGTGCAGATGAGCATAGCAGGAGGACATTATCACCTGTCCCAGCTATTTCTGTGGCCTCTGAGAAGCAAACCCAACACAGTTTGAACAAACAGCAGGAAAGCACTGAGGAAGAGTGCAACGGGCCTTTACCTGACATTGAGAGAGATGACATGTTGGTTAGAAGGATGGGAACTTTTCAGAGACGTGTCACTAGCGCTGTTCATGTACCTTGTCCTCCCCCATCAGTTGCTCCTCATGTGCTGCAGCAGCAGCACGGGGAGGCAATAGCTCGTGAGAAGGATTTGAAGACTCCACGGGAAGCAGAAAGGTCAGAGAACAGAAGCTGAGCGCTCCAAGCTTCATGCGTGGCTTTGTGTGGTACTAGCCTGGATCAGTCCGCAGTGTTATTCCGTTCTTCACGCAGCCTCTAAAGATGTGTTTTAGTCGTTCCTCATGCATGTGTTCTGTTTTATGGAACTCCTTACAAGAATGTATCCTATGAACATAAAACAGCCTGTTTTCTTTCATAGTGTTTAAGTACTTCAATTGTTAATTGCTATTCAGCATGAAAACAGTCTTTCATCTTTTGGGAGGAGTTCTTTTGCAATCCATGCTTTTTCTCCAGCCTTTTACGCCAGCTTCTAATTGAGTAATTGCTTGCATATATTTTATGGAATCTTCCACTTCTAACATATCACCTACCCAGTGTGGTGCTGAATGTAGTTCCCTCTTATTCTCCCTTCCTGTGCTGTGGCTAAAGATGTGTAGATGTCCATCACTCTAACTGTCTTTTGAGTAGTAGTTCCCCACGTTGCCTCAGCAGCAGCCTGCCTTTGAGCTGCACGAGTGGACATTATCATGGAACAGTTTCACTTGTCTCTCTGAGCAGTACTGAAAGCAGAGAGGAGAGCCAAGAACAGCTTGAAATCCCTCATCAGCAGAGTGATGGAACAGAAAACAAAGTGAAATTTCCAGACCCACAAAGAGATGACATGTTGGCCAGGAGAACTGGAGCTTTTCTAAGGCAGTCTGGGCCCAGTGTTAAACAATTCCTTCCCATGCCATTTTCCAAGCAGCAGAGTAAGCAGGGCACAACTAGAGAACTTGACAAGAAAACCAAGAGGTAAGAAAGTTTCTCTGCTGTTTTTAATTTCTTTCCTTCCCTACCTGTTTGTCAAGATCTCCTTATCTAGAACAATTGCTCTTGGCCCAGCAGAGGCTTCTTTTATACTTATCTTTGATTCTGTGCTTATTTTTTCTGGCTTATTCTTTCTAATAGGTAGCACAGGTTTTCTGGCCCCTTTGAGAGGGCACAGTAAAGACTCAAACCAGAGCTCTAGCAGATAGAAAAATCTAAGAGGGTGTAGAAAGGGATTTATGTGAGGAGATTGTATTACATTTGCAGAGGTCTCTGGTTCAGTACGAGCTAATCATTAAAACTATTTCTAGTCAGAAACAGTTGCTGGATATGGTAAATCAGATGAGCCTTTAGGGCTTAGCTAGACTTCCAACCAGGAAATCAGGACTCTGGAACTAGATCCTTTCTGATAAGGCCTTGTATCTTTTTAAGCACCTGTGTTCAGATGAGCAAGGCTGTGTGGGGAAGCTGATGGTTCAGCCTTCACACAAGGTTATGCATTGACTGAGGAGCCTCGTGAAAGTCATATTAGAAGGGACTTTGTTCGTCAACCTCTTCTAAGGGGAAGAAGATGCATGTGTCCGTGTATACATGGTTGAAAGATTTGTGTACATTTGTAACAGCTTAGCTGGGGGCAGAAAAGCTGTGTTGACTAATGTGGGGCTGAATGATGGTTTGGTGTTGAGAAAAGATTACTGCATAGATTAGTTAAAAAGTATACCTAAAAGTTTAACATTTAGGGTTATCAAGGACAGTTTATCTTCCTGGGTGTTGAGAGCAACAAGTATGTTGCTCTCAATTAAAATTACATTTTGTGTCGCCGTTCATCTAGCTTATCAAGTATCAGCTATTTGTTTTTCTTAAATTAGTTATACTTTTCATTATGGGCCTGTGTTTTTTCAAGTGTTCCTTAATATACTTCTTTGCACTGCTGCCTTTGGCTCACTCAGGCCTGAAAAATATCCACAAGTCTGCAATAATAGCTCTGGAAAACTTGCAACGCAACCTCAGCAAGAACAGCAGCAAGAGCAGGAAAGATGCGATCTCCCTCCTGTGGGACAAAATGATATTATTTCTACTGCCCAAATGGGTGATCATAGCCTTAACGAAGTCCCCCCGGATCAAACATCAAATCTGCAGGAGGTTTCTGAGGAAAATAAAAATGAAACATTGTCATCCGAGAATGAACATCTGCAAACGTGAGCTCTGTATGGTGTGAATTATGCAGCTTGTACGCCCCTCGCTCTCCTTTTGTGTGCACACTTTGGGAGACAGATGCTACACTGCTTGGTTTGCTTTCAGTCCAGACTAAAATACTGTATGCCAGCAATACACTTTGTAGAAACAAATAAAATAGTTGAGTACTGCATTATTTTCTTCTCCACAACTAATGAAATATTTGATTATAGAATATATGCAAAAAGGTTCATTGGTCCCGGAGGTTCAGCCAGACCACTAAGCATCTGTGGAGAGGTCCCTGGCTTCTCTGTGATTAGAAGGTGTTTCTGCTAGAAGGGTGAACTTCTGCACTTGCTGTTATTTTATGGTGAATCCCAAATACAAACATGTTGTTCGCACAACTAGGCACCTTAGAGAATGACAATGATTAGTGTTCTACAAGTAACTTTTTTTTTCAGCTGCACAAAAAAAGAATGCAATCGTGTGGTCCCCTTTTTGGCTGTAATACTTGCCTTTCATCTGTGCGTCAGTAGTGGTCATTGGGAACACTGTTGTTGAATGTAACATGTTTTTTCCTCCATTAATTGCATGTGTGTTAATATATAGCATATATATTATCACCAACTAATTTCTGCACTCTGTTTGGATGTATTTCACCAAATTTTTATGATGAGGGCCATGGTGTGGCTCAACGAGGGAAGGGTGCTGTTCTTACATAGGTTTAATGGCTTTCAGCTGATTAGGTAAGTCTTGTTTGCTGAGTATATAATCTCTGAACAGTATGATTCTCTTTTGGTCTACTTCACTAACAGAGGTTGGATGTTTAAATGAAAATTACCCAAATTATATGGATCTTATTGCATTTGATATTTAATGTATTTATCAACACTCTAATTTTATATTTGGTCTTGTAGATTCGGCCCCAGAACTGCTGTGTCTGATGACGCAGAGTAAGTTGTCTTGTGCTCACGAGGTTCTGTTTTAAACAGCTTACACTGCATGCTTTCCAGCCTTTCTACTAATTTAAAATGCAGTTGATGCCTCATTGTTATTTTGCAGTGTTCCAGCAAATAAATTTTTCAGAAAAGCACTGAAAAATGGAATGCAATATGGCTTACTTTGCAGCTAAAAATAATTTTTATGTAAAAGCCCCTAAAAATTGCCCATAATGCTAATCGCAGCTATTGCTTGAAGTATTGTTTCCTCTTTTTTTTGTTGTTCCTTCTTTTCTTTTATTTTTCTTCTAATTCTCATTACGTCCAGTCAATCACTGCTAAAGGGAGTTGGGTTGAGTCTGGGCTGGGGGTTGGAAAGAAACAGAGACATAACTTGTGCAACTTCACAGGGAGAAAACAAAACTCAGAGTAACATAACATTCATTGTGGCCATCAAGATAATTATCAGGAAAATAATTATCAGTTGCTCATTGTTTACCTTTTTAAAACTCCTTCTTGAATTCTTCTAGGTTAAGTCTAATTTAATAATATGCTGAACTTCATTTTTTAATTTTTCACCTTAGAAGTGAGACTGTGATATTTATGGCATTCAGACATTTTAATTGTGTGTGAATGCATGTAAACTCTAATTCTGAATAACACACAATGCTATTTTGCAAGTTCTGTGAAAATATTAGCTATTCTTACTTAAAAACTGTGGTCACTTAGAGACCATCCACATAACAGTGTCTGCAACATCCTTCTTGCATGCACAGAAATTCACATGACCTTCACTGCCTCCCTCATAAAATAACAAAATATCACTAGCATAGAGTTTCTTTAAAATAAATATATCCAGAGAGTCAGGTGTAATTTTTCACCCTTTTCTCTAATGATAAATGGTAGTCATGTACTCTACATGATCTCTACAAGATCTATAATGCACAAGTGAATGCACTTTATTCTTTAGGCCAAGACAGTATCCTTTGACTTCAAAGTAAATGTGATCATTTCCAAGCAGCAGATTTTTTTTTCAATCAAATTAAGAGATGGGATAAAAGTTGCTTGACAACCCTGAAGCGTAGCAATGGAGACCTTTCTACCATTTTCTAAATGATAGAACCTATCTGGTGGTTTTGTTCAGTTGTTTGCCCACATTTCTGCACACCTGTATTAAGTGCAAGTATGAAAGAAAGTACATGGAGATGCCTTCAAAGAGATATTGGACTGTGTTTGGTTGTATAGTGTGAAAGTGCTAAAGATGCAAATAAATAATATTGATTCCACATTGATGATGATTTTGTGTAAAAAGGCAGAACAACACTCTTCAAGCCTCACTCTTATCTCTTCCAGATGTGCTATATTTTGCAGAGCAACTCTTTTCTTAAAACTGTCTTTAAGAATTCTTACAAATCTAAGCTTATATGTTTCCTTCTAAAGACCAAGTAAGACTTGCTCTAAAGACCAAGACTAAGACTTCAAAAGATTCTAATGAAATAGGGCTTGCAAGTGAGTGAAATAAATTGAACTCACATTTAAAATGCTTCCAATATATTTGCTAGGTCTCCCTTAAGTATTCTGTAGATTGAATTCACTCATAGAATAGATGCTTTGTGTCCCAGTGGCAATACTGGGAACTCCCTAGTTAGGCTGGCAAAGCTGCCTTTGCTGCCAGTGATGGTGATGCAGGCAAGAGTGATCAGGACTCTGTCCTCAGCCCAGGGCTGTCTCAAGGTCCAACCGAGGCAGTACCCAGCGGAATTTGGTGTAAAGGAGACAACCGTGGCTAGTCAATGGGATTGCTCTGGAAACTCCACAGATGTAATGAAACAAGGTACACACTGCACGAGGGATGAGTTTTCTCTTGTGGAAGGAAGAGGTTGCTGGGGGGTCCCTCCTTACTCTGTTCCGCAGACTCTTATCAGATTCCAGGTGCCTGTAACCTCCATGTGGCACAGTATGGAAGTGGGATCTGTTCTGGATCTGGGAAGGGAAATGTACGTTTGGGCTATGCTTGGTCTTCTTCATTTCCCTTCAGATGAGTCTTAGCAGAACAGAGAGAAGAAAGCCAGAGGATGGTGTGTTTGGGCACACTGCTAAATGGTTAAGTGCTAGCAACGTGAGCTTTTCTGAAGGGAGAAAGACATAAGAAGGTCAACTTAATGGTGTAACTGTGATGTGGTGGATCTCTTTTCCCTGGAGTTGCCTTTCCTATGCCTAGCTTGTAGCTGCTTATCAGTCCCATTCTCAACTCCTTAAGATACGGGGCTGAGCTTGGGTGGTAGCCTGACAGCCCGGGATTGATTCAAACTTAGGCTTTCCACTTGAAGCCTGTCAAGCAAACTATAGTGAACTGAGATATGTTTGTTTACTAGAGTCTGAGTCTTTAGCCAGCTTCTTACTTTTTTATGTTTTGTTTGGGTTTGCTAAGTCTTAGTATGTCTACAAAATGGTAATGCAGCCAGATAACTGCCTTGAATATGGATTTGGAACATATTCTCATAAAAAAGCTGTTCACCATGTTTCATATTTTTTAATTGTATAGTCTGAACACTCAAGCCCTTGAGGACCATTTTGCAAGGGGTTTAGAAATCTCAAAGACGTTTTTTATCCAGTACTTGTTCAGACTTTTTAACTGCTGTGCTGTATGATATCTCTGACAAGAACAACCCTAATATGCAATAATAAAGTCCTGTAAATTAAAAATCACATTACTCCGGAGACCTAGCCTACCAAAATAAACTGGAGATGTGCTCAGTGATTTGTCCCATATCTTTGTCAGAACAGCAGATTTAATAGACTGGTCAGCAGAAAGGCCTGTTGCTTACAGACAGAATTTGGATGTGAAACTCAGAGTTCTGCTCGTGGCAGAAAATTCACGAGCATGAGTTGAACATCCCGCCCCCATGTACCTGCAGTCCCTGTGCTTGCTGACCCAGCACTTGCTTGGAAGAAGGAATAAATTTAGCTCTTCTCATACAAGTATTAGTGACAGATTGGAGTCATTTGTAGCTTATACAGGAAAGATAAATGGGAAGAATTGATGTAGGATTCGTAATAAAACTATCTTTTGGCAGAAGCCCAGAGTTCTGGTTCCTTTGATTGTTTTCTGAGGGTGCATTTGCCAGGCAGAGGTCAATGTAGACCTTTCATTTGTCCTTTTCAGTGTGTTCAGGGACCTAGGTGGCTTTTGTAGTAGCTGATACGTGCATGGATCAGAGCAGAGCATGGTGCTTTGAGATGTAGCTCCTCCAGTTTGCTCTCTTGGGAAGATGTGTTTGCAAAATGATATTATGTGGCTGCAGAGCTGTCATTAGGGTGAACCTGTCAGGTTGCTTTTCTGTGGCAGGGAAGGCCAAGCAGCAGGAGATGACAACTGGACAACAAGGTGCATATGGAGTTCTAGTGCATGGTTGGATTCCTGGCCTAGGTTGCAGCTTTACTAGAGTGCTTTTTTCCTGCATCGATAACAGACATCAAACCTTTGTTTTGCTGTCTTTATGCACCCTGAGAGACCTGAGTGATGCAGGGAAGAAATAGTAGCCTCACATTAGGACACCAGAAGATTGTTGGTATAAAAATATTTCTATTCTCCCATTGCAAACGACAGATGGCTAGTACTCATGGACTCTGCTAGAACCAGTTACCAGCAACTGGTGTCTTCTGCTTTTCTTTAGTATGTGAATGAAAAATTCTTTGAATGAAGGGTACAAGAAGGGAGCCACACAACCACTTTGATCCAGTAGCCACAAGGTGCCAAAGACTTTTTCTTAATATGAATTTCAAAAGCTCTTAAACTGGAACAAACCCACCGAGGGTGGCTTTGTTTAATAAATTAATGCATCTTCCACCCTTATCCACAAAGTATGGGTGATACTTAAATATCCCAGAATAGGTGACATGCCTTTAGTTTCAGAAACAACTACAAATCTTATCTGTCTCTTTAGTCTGTTCTTAAGAGTTTTCCAATCCTGAGCAATGAACTCATTAAGTTACCCAAACCCAAATTAGCCTGCTGCTCCTCAGCGCTCAGTTTAAGAGCTAATGCTGGGTGGTAACGCTGACCTTATTGCTCGTGCTGAAAGGCACTTGGATGTGTATTCTGTCCTTCATTTCTGAACACATGCCTACTAACCGGGATGGGATCTCTGCACGGACCAAACCTTTCATTCCGGAGAGAGGTTCATTCACGTCTTTGCTTGCTTGAGTATAAATGTGGGGTTCATTCATGTCTTTGCTTGCCTAAATATAAATGTGGGCTAAATGTGTATTTGCACAGCTTTCCGTGTGTATTGACTTCAATTACCATGTACATAGTTGCCTACCATTTTATCTTTGTTTGGTGCTTCTCCTGCTAATTGGCTCACTTAAGCTACAGATGATCTTTTGAAGGTGGCTGTAAAAAAATACCTCATATGGAATTGCATGGCTTTATTTTATTTTATTTTATTTTATTTTATTTTATTTTATTTTATTTTATTTTTGCTTTTGCTCTAATGGCACAACTGAGGTCATGTTTTAGTAACAATAGGTACTGAGGATGGGGAAATTAAAGCACATTATCTTCATGTGAACATCTTTGGGTAACATGAATGGATGTTTGATATCAAACTACGACCTTTTTAGCTTTTGAAAGGTCAAGGGCAGAAATAGAATGTGTATAAAGAAATCGTTGGGGCCTGGACATGGATGTTTGTTGTGCAGTTAGCTTTTCCTTTGTTAGATTAGATGTATTAATAAGTTGGTGTTGATAGCATTGAGTTTCTTCAAAGCAGGGAGGGGAAGGGCAGAGGAGGAAGTAGCATGTTGTTTGCACCGCATGTGCTTCTCTGGGCAGGCTCTCCCAGCTCCTGCAACAATAGCCCTTAGCCTGTCATGCTGCCCATAATGTACCTCTCAAGCCTCTCTTGTTTTACCATGAAGTGAAAACTTATCTCTGCAACACGAGAATGACTGGAGGGGTTTTGAAAACTGATTGGGAAGTTGATCTTCAGGGAGCTAAATGTTCTGAAAACAGCTCTGAATAGAGTATTTTTGATAAGAGCTATTATTGTTGAGTTTTTAAAAGCTATTGTTGGAGTTTTAGTGCTAGTAGTACTATTTAGTGAGAGACAGAGTTGCTGTCAACTGACTGTAACAAGAGAAGACTGAGGAGTATAGTGCCTGAAGTACAGCGTGGAAGTCCTAGGGATGCTAATTGGTCCTTGAGATGGATTGCTGCTTTGGGAGCTTCTAAATGGTGCAGGTGTTTGATTCTGCTGTAGCACCCTCATGTGGCCTTGACTCCAAAATGCTGAAGGAAGCTAGGCTGTGAGTAACACTGTGCTTCTTATTACCCTCCCTCTTTGTTTAGGAGCGTGAGCATGTTTGACATGAGGTGTGAAGACGAAGCCGTGACGCAGCCTCATAGCAAAGCTCGCCATGAAAAACTGCAGAACATACACAACCAACTCAAAGAGGATGAGACTAGATGGCAAGACGTGAGTATACAACATTATCTCCAGAAGCAGCATTGAGACTGACTACCTAGGCGAAAGGAAAACCTGCTGAATGTACGGTTGCTTTCTAACTCTCCACTAAAATAATAAGATTTTTTTTCTTTGTATTTTTCATTGGATTGTTGCTAAAAGCATAAAAGTTCGTAATCTGATGTAAATTGCAGAGTGTAAGATCTTCAAGACCCTCCGCATGTGTGCCTGCTATTTTGCCTTTTAAGAAAATATCATTGGACTGTATCTGGTAAAAACAGAAGCAGCCTGGCTGTCTGATGAATTCTGTAGTTTTTATAGTATGTGAATATCACAAGTGACTCAACGGAAGACTGATCAGGATGTTAAAGGCCTGGGTTGGTCTTGGATAGATACAGAAAATGCCTTCCATCTTATCCAAGCAAACGCTTTTTAACATAGATACACCCTGCTTGTATCACAGGGCCTTTCAGAACATTGCTTAATACATCACACATTAGGTAAAGGAGCAAGTAAAACATTGCCTCTTACTTAACATGTTTTCTAAGCTGTCCTGGCATTTTGCATTGTGTCCAGGAAATTAATAAGTACCTTACTTAGGCTCAGAAAAGAATCGTGAATGACTTGTGGTTGAGCTAGCATCAGGAATTTCAGTATCAATCATGTTAATTCCTGAAAGCCCCGTTTTAAATGAGGATTTGGGGATATAAAAAAGAAAAAGCATTGATTTTGAGTAGTGGATACAGCATTTCCCATTATAAGAACAGCTACTACAAAGAATCTCAGAGATGTTTCTGATAGAAAATTCAAGGAAAAATCAAGAAAAAAAAACAAGAAAAAAAAAAAGAACAGTGTATACAACTAAGAAATAACTGTCAGTAGAACAATGAAGGGTTTCTACTGAGTGGTTTGTGTGTGTGGGAAGCCATAATTTCCCAGCAGAGATAAGAATGGGTCCAAAGGAGTTCAAGAGGTTTGAGAACTCTTTCCTGTTGAATGGAAAATGCTCTTAGCTGATGTGCACTGATTGTCCAGGCCCTTAGCACCTTATACACCAAAATAAAAGTCCTGAAGAGCTACTAAAAATGGCCTTACTGGAATGTCCTTGGCATTCAGCAGGCTTTGTAGAGACTCCATTCTACACTACATTCATGGCCTGATATTCTTTATATGTCCATGCTGTAAATTTGCCAACAATTAGCAGTTTCATAGCTTTTTATTATTATTGTTATTCTAAAGCATTAGAACTGGAAAAGATAAACACGTCTGGTTTTTAATTACAAAAAGAGGAGGAATGTTATGGAATTTGCTAATGAAAAACTTATTTCCAAACAATGGGCAATAGTGGGATAGCTGAACAAAGAAATGCTTTTGTACTTCAATAAGAATAATCAGGAACTGAGGAAAATGAAAGACCACGTTTCAAGGAGGGGATTATAGACTGATATATGTAGGTCATGTGGAGAAATACTTTAATGAACATTCCCTTGAGTGTAACATCAATAATTTGTGGTTTTAAGCTAAATTAAAAATGACAAGATTTTTCCTGGTTTTAATAAAATGAGTTATGCTTACAGTACCTTCTGCTGTTTACCAATAAAAATGCAATTAAAATATTTGGAAAAACATATGATTTATGAAATAGTCTTTGAATTGTGTGTGTATACAGAATTACTGTTTTTATTAAAACCAGAATTCAATAGAGTACATGGACTATAATGTGTACAGTATTTTCTTCACAAAAGTACTACAGAAGTTATTTTTTACAACAGAACTTTATTCTTTTATTGATTCGTTGCAGAGAAACCTTATGATTTAGAAACACTTCTTTGCTGTAATATTTTACTGTGAAATTAATCTTGTCTCTATGCTCTCCATGACTTGTGAACTCGTAGTACAAGGCAGGATGCAAAAATAGATGCCCATAGCAGGTATCTTCTGTGGCTCTCTGTCTTCCTGTAAGGCGGATTTTACAGGAAGGGTGACAAACCAGAATCAGTGATTCTGGACAATTTTAGATGGGCAATTTTCATAGAGAATAGGATCACTGCCCCAACAAGGGCATGGCAACACGGGTCAGTGCCAGCTATAGTATTTTGGGTCTGTTATGTCTCAGGGCAGTCAGGTTTGAGCCACCTTAGTCCATAATCTGTGTTCCTTGGAGCCAGAGCCAAAGTACTGTAGGGTGCCCATGAGGAAGAGTTTAAGCCTGTTTTCTGGCTGAACAGTCCTGATCAACAGTCCTTCCATGTAGCTGGCTGACACCAACAGAGATAGGAAGTTCTTACTGTATCCTATTAAAGGAAAAAAATCAAGTAATATCTTAATTTTATTATATGATCTCCTTTTCCCTTTAAAAGAGAAGGTGCTGTATGAAGTGTCCATGCAGGTAATGTTTGCCTGGTCAGTAGCTAGGAGTGATAATAACAAAGTGGCTACCTTGGTTCATTGATTTCTATGGCCAGTTTTCATCTGTTTGCAACCCTCCATTCAGGTGCCTGCCTTCTTTCATAGGACCTTGCTCGGTGGAAGAGTCGCCGACGGAGTGCTTCACAGGATTTAATAAAGAAGGAAGCAGAGAGAAAGAAAATGGAAAGGTTGTTGTCTGGAGAGGGAACAAACGAGCGAAGAAAAAGCATCAAAACCTACCGAGAAATTGTGGAGGAGAAGTATGTCGCTTTGCTGCAGTGCAGCATGCGTGCGTGGCTCCGAATGCTGTGTGCTTCATAGGCAGTGTATAACTGCGGGCTTGAGTTGAGGGAGGGGAAAGCATGGGGATGAAGCTGGGGAAATGGGAACACTTGCCAGTGTTAGTTTTCACGTGGTGTTTTTCTTGTTCTGTCTCCCATGCAGAGAGAGGCGAGAGAGGGAGCTGCATGAGGCGTACAAGAACGCGAAGTCTCAGGAGGAAGCCGAGAGCATCCTCCAGCAGTACATCGAAAGGTTCACCATTAGTGAAGCTGTCCTTGAGCGTCTGCAGATGCCAAAAATTCTGGAGAGAAGCCATTCAGTGGAGCCAGATTCCCCACTGAAAGACCCAAATCCTCTAAGATACTTAAGGCAGCAATCGCTGCCTGCTCCAAAATTCACTGCCACCATTGAAGCGACCATTATTCCACCCACTGAATTAGAGCCCAGTGGTTCGACGGGCCGCACATCTCCGAGCAAAACTGTTGTCTCCAAGGCTGTGCCTATGCTGACACCTAAGCCTTACTCACAACCCAAAAATACACAGCAAGTTTTAAAAAATTTTAAGGTAGGATGTGTTACATTGCCCAAAATTGGTCAGGAGACAAAGGAATTCTGACCAAATCATCTGAATGTATAAATGTTTAATGCCACTTAAGTAAAACAAGGTAGCAGAATTCTGATGTGTTGAATATCAGTTTTGTGCTCTGTGCATCCCAGTCACTTCTTGGTTTCCAACATCTTCTGAAACTTGACCTGTTCAGAATGGAATATTTTTGCAGGACATCTTTCCTCTGGCTAAATTTGTTTGGGTAGTGGCAGAGGGAGAAGAATCTTAAGAAGAAAACAAGACATTTAGTGAAAAAGAGGTTAGGAAAAATATGTTGTGGGCTGGTTGGTTGGGGTTTTGTTATTGGTTTTTTTTTTTAACAGAAGAGGAGGGGTCGGAATTTGGAGGCCCTAAAGCTTGGAGCAAGGCCTGAACTGACTTTTGCATCAGGGATTTGATTTTTGCCATGCCCAAATAAGTTTGTCCAATTCAGCCAAATCATAAGCCTTTGAAACATCACAGTGTGCCTGCGTTCATTGGCAACTCCCTACCCCTTTTGCTTTGAGGTGCAGCTGGCCCACAGATGCTGATTCTCACCAAGGATGGGGAATGGGGAAAGATGCTTCGCTGGAGTAAAGAGGGGTAATAAACCATCAATGGAGGTTTAGGAAGAGCATATGGGTGGAATTGCGTCTGTGACAAAACTAGAGCTTTCCTGAGCTTTCTAGTAGCTGCTGCCCTTGAGATTATGTAGCTTCCTGGCAAGCATCTCCCAAGCCTGTATAGTCCTGGTCCCCTTGTGTCTGCCGTCACTATAACTTTGCTAGTAGCATGGGAGGACCTCAGAAGCCCTGCTGATGCTCTGACTAGGGACTGCATTGCTACCCTATCTATTCAGGTGGTTTGCCTCTTTAAAATACTAGTCAGCTTTGTACAGATAGTGAAAAAGGATGTTTTGATGTCCATTGTTTCTTGAAGTCTGCCCCAACTGTTGTGAAAAGCCCTTTATTCCCAGTGTTTATTGGTTGAACTGCAGAACTATTTCTCTGAGCCGGCCTTTTCCCAGAGTTTATGTTTTAGTCACTGCTTAATTACTCATGGATTTTTTTTCTTGGTCTTTGACATATTTTTTCCTGGTAGCACTAGGATATGTATGTATTACACCTATGCATATTAATGCATGTGTAGTTCACATATAGAAACTAACGTACAGATGCTTCCCCCCTCAGTCACCTCTAAGAGTCTATATCCTGTTTGCTTGATGTGGAACAATGTGATTGATCTTAACAAGATAAATCTATTCTCTAGAATGCTGTAGCTACAGAATTACTTTGCCCTGAAACCCCAGTTTATCAGTGATTGTCTGCTCTGGTGACAAAATGTTGACTTGCTCCAGATCAGGAGCAGAGCAGTGTGTTTGTTTAACTCTGCGGCCAGGGCATCTGTCCTGATCATTCAAACAGTTGGTTTTCCTCCCTAATATAAATAGAGAAATGTCTTAGTCTAAACAGAGACATGAAGATGGATGGTCTGGCCTGCCAGGGTTTTTCTGGCTTTTTTTATTTTTGAGAGCTTTTGTGACATGCCTGTCTTGTAGATAATCCAGCACACAGTCCCAAAAGGCTTGGGGTTCAGCGTCTGCCCACACTTGCAATTAGAAATAAGCCTTACGAGTAGTGCTGAGTAGATGATGGCAGTGGGAAAAGTCAAGGAACGTTTTCATATGAAAATCTGTCAGAGCTGTTGAAACTCTTGTGCATCCTGCCCACTTCAGCCCTGCCTAGGAGCTGACTGTGGGAGCTGCTAGTTGACTTTATCTCCGTGCACTTCTGCAGGAGCTGAGGGTGCCTCAGTGCCTCGGTGCCTCAGAGATGACCCCTTAGTTAATCACCCTCATATAAAAACAGATCTCTAATGCGTGCATACAAGACATCTGCAGGAGTTGGGTTTGCTCTTAGCTTAGCATGATTGCATACACTAAGTTGAAGTGCTGCTCTTGAGGTATCATCTAAGCTGCGAAAGTTACTGCTCAAGCTATGTGAGCTGCTGAAGATACGTGAGTAGAGAAATAAGGAATGGAGCAGGCAAGTTGAGCAGGGAACACTGCAAGCTACTTTGTTGTGACAAACGGTGTGTTTCAGTTCAATAGAGCAGTTCTAATTCTTGTTGCATCAGTTTTCAATGTCATTTTGAAGTGAAAAGTTTCCACAGAACTGCTTAACTCAGAGCTTGATTTTACATGTGGTTTTTGTTTATGCAGTACCTGTGGAATGACCTGAAATGACTAATCATCCTGTTCATCTCAGTTAGCTCCTCAAAGAAATCATTGATCTATGTCGTCATGACCCCAATGCCCACCTATTAGCAGAGAACAGTCAGTCAGAACAGTTGCTCCCTCACCTCTGCGTGGTCTCCCATGATGTTCTTCCTGTGTTGAAGGATCTCTGCACAGTGTGAGAAAGTCCCTCTTAAACTTTTTAAAATCTGCCTCTCCTGACAAGCCTATAAACCCCTGTGTTGTAGCTAGGCGGGTGCAATATGGTATCAGAGGAACCTTGTGCTATCCCAGTCTTTTTGCTTACTCTAACTGATCTCTCTTGTGAATGCTTTGTAACTTCTTTGAAACAAGACATTGTTAATATCATGACTTCCATAAACAAGCATCCGAACCTAATTAACTCTTTACATGCCATGTCCATTCCAGACATAATTTTGAAATATTAAAGATTTGATGAAAAAAAAAAGTGTTGGTGATTCAGTTATGCAGCAAAGGAAGGAGTTGTTTTTGATTTCTTAGTTGTCTAGAGCTTATTTGCTGTTTTTTCCTTGTGTAAGACCTCCTCAGGGGGATATATGCCCACCAGGGAGGTAGCTAGACTTCGAGGACAGAATAGATGAGAGTTTTTACCCTCTGATTTTCATGGAGATTGCATAAAGTCATTTTGGAGAAAGCGGCTATTTATTTTATTGCTTCATGGAGATGCTAAAATGCCCTATTTGTTGGTTCCTTTCTTCTCTGTTACAAGCAGTGAAGAAAAAATATGGATGAACTCTGCTGTTCTGAACCCTTTGGAGTTCTCTCGGAAAACACAGTCTGCTAATGTTGTGATGAGTTTGTGAGACTGCTTAGTGGGTCATCAGTGTAATTAGTCTTGGAGAGACCTACTTTCCTGTAGCATGAGGCAGTGCAAAACCCAGAAGTTTTAAGTCTAAATTTATCTCAAAGCTCTATTCTCCTTTTAAAATGCCCTGTTTATGTGATGCACACAAAGAGTGTTTGTATGTTACAGAGAGACAAAGAGAGGGAGACAGAGACAGACAGAACAGAGAATGCAGAAAAATTCCTACTTACTGTCTGCATTTTGTTTACGAATCTCAAAGAATGGGGTTTGTGTCTATTGTTTCCATTTGTTTTGGCCTATTGAAATGTGTGCTTGACTCCATCTTGCACTGATCATGCAGATGGTGCTAACAGGAGCAACAAAAATAGTAGTAGCAGTAATAATAATGTGTACTAGTAACAATGACGATGTCACATTATTGTTCCTAATCTCCTAAATTCCCTTGAAAGCTAATTTCTTCGGCGTATTTATTTAACTGTGTTCTGCAGGTAGATGGAAAAGTCAGCATGAATGGAGAGAATGTCAACGGAGTAGAAGAGAAGGATAAAGAGTGCACGACAGTAGTATTTACTCCTTCACCAAGCAGATCTCTGAAATTTGATGGAGTAGCCAGAGGGGACAGGTCCCCAGTCGAGTTGAAGAAGGACCCCACAAGCACTGAGCTCGGCTTACAGAGGCCTGCCATTCAGAGCATGCACAAAGAGCCAACAGTAAGAGAACCACAAACCAATCGGCCTTACTGTCTCTGCCAGTTTTCTGTCTCATAATATGTTTAATCACTAACTAATGAAACCCGAGTGGTTACATTTGCTTTATTTCAAAGGGTGTGCCCAGAGCAGGAAAAAGAAAATGCAAGCCCTTTATAAACTAAAGTCTTCTGCTTTTGGTCTGCGGGTAAAGAAATGGTATGGGAAGGTTCCAAACCTTTCTGCAGCCGGGCCTGCTTTTTTATGACATGCAGCTGATAGGCATGCTTTAAATGTGCTGGGCCAGTGAGAAACTGAATCTATGTCCCAACTATTGTGCAGATTTATTCAGCTCTTCTGATGGCAGCTGATTATATCAGCAACATAACTGGACTGTGTGAGCCATTATAATTTGTCTCAGTTTTCAGATTTCAAAGAGGATCTGAATATGCTGGCAGCTTTGAACATTCAGCTTTCAGTCCCCTCTCAGAAATATTAGAAAAGAGGATAAGTTATTGAAATACTCTTGGGTCAATGTGTGTCTTAACTGCCCTATTAAAGAAACAGATTAATTCTACCTTTTCATCTTTCTCTCCTACTCTTCCCAGGAGAGAAAGGCAGGGAGAAAAAAAGGAGCGGGAATATCACAGCGGGAATCTGGATGCTACAAAGTTGTAATAAAAGAAAGTAGATGATAAAAATAAAACAAGAAATAAGGACTGACTGCAAATAAAGTGTGTGGAAGGAGTGCGAACAAATGGCAGGATGAAGGATTGTAGATTTTCTTTACTCTGTAACAACAAGAGAGAATCAGAGATGTGGGTGGAGCTGAAGTATGAGAATTTTTGCTTTCATCTCAGACAACTTCTGAGCATTGGCCAGATGGACGAGGGAGGGAGCAGGCAGCTTTCTGTCACTGGGAGTGGTGGCTCACTCATGCTGAGGGGCTTGTGCCTTGTCACATTGCCCTGCTTCATGCCAGTCTGCAGCCAGCACGGGGCTGTACCATGAGCACAGACATGGTTCTGTTGGAGGGAATGGGTGCAGAATGGAGGGGGTGATTTGCAGGAAAACAGGCACTCCTGGCAGAGCAGAGACCACTTGTGTCCAAGGGGGAAGTCAAGTAAGCATTGCGTCTCATCTGGGAGAACTGGTAATGGAGATGATTGGAGGATAGAGAGAAGAGCCTCAGCTTGATGAAGGTTAGAAACACAATGACAATCAAAATAAGTAGCTGAATATAAGTTTTACTGTCCCCTTTTTCGGATTTCCAGACTTCCATAGCTGTGGAAGCACTGAGAGGAAGCCTAACAGTAGCATCTATGTTACAGCTTGGGCCTGTTTGTACCTGTTTGATGCCCTCTCAAATGTTTGTGTCCAGTGTTCTGCTTGCAGGTCTTAGCTCTAGTGGTAAACTTGGCAGAGGAAGCTGAACAACTTGAATTTGCAGAGTTTGCACCCAAATAGTGCCATTCTGCTCCTTCTAGATGTTTGTTTCCATTTACCCAGCTGCTTCTCAGTTGTAATCTTCCAGGTTTCCATGATTTAGACCAAGTGAGAGGCAGTAACAACTGTCGCAGGAGTTGCCTAGTTCATGCATGGTAAGGGCTTAGGTGTCATCGTACAGAGATGGGCCATGGTAATGACACTTGATGTCTTTACCAATATTTGCCTTGTGTGTTAGGGTACAGGCCAGCACTGCTGAGCAGGTCACTGCAGATGTAATATTTGTGGATCTCACCTCTCTGGTGACAAATTCCTATGTTGTCTCCGTGAGAAGAGGACCTGGCTCAGTTGGCCACTCTTTCTCCTTGTGAGAAAGTAACTAGAGCAGCACTTTGCAGAAGAAAAGGAGTGTTGTTTTATAGGGGTTCATTCAGGCATGTGCTTAATGTGACCCATGCATATAGATTTTTGTCTGATGCTTAACCTTACAGAATTTCAGGAGAGAATGAGAAGATGACAGAAATAGGTATAGAAAAGCAGCCAAAATGAAGAATCAGAGTTATCTGGAGTGGAAGAAATGAAAACGTTTTTTTCCCCTGAGAAAACTTCTACAAATAAATGCAGTTGAGCATTTTCAAAGCCTCTTTTAACTTTCTTTCACTGCCTCTATTTGTACATTTTCCTGCACTGAAATAGTTTAGAGACTTGTTAGCTTCATCCTTCGCAGCCTTTGAATAAGACTCAAAGGCAACAGTCCTCTGCCTCTTGAGAGATGCTGAGATAGCTTTTCTTTGTTTTTCCTCTAGTTGCTCTGACGCTTGTTTTGGTTTTGTGTTTTATCTGTTTAATTTCTGTCCCGATTCTCTGCTGTGAGGGTGTATATTCCTCTGAGGCATATATATGTCTATATGTTCTAATTCTCTTCTTGCTCATTGCATGCCCCTTCCTCCTCCATCCTTTCCTATGGTTGCTCCCCCGCTGTTTCAGTTCAGTTGTCAAATGGCCTAGTCCTGTCTTCTCTCTGCCTGGCAGCCTTCCCTTTGAAGCTCCCTAGCGCTGCTCTAAATCTATCCTCCTGGCCTCAGGCCTTGTCTGCAGCACAGCAAGATGCTGTGCAGCTGTACTGCCACGGCTCCCAATTTCCACTGGATTCGGGAAAACAGCTCAGTCGAGTCACACCACCCCAAACACTTGTGTGATTCAGGTTTTGTCAAGGGTTAGAGAGGCCTAGGGATCGTTTCGTGTGGGTCATTCCAAGGGTTCTGGTGTATTTCTGATGGAGGGAAAAACACACCTATGGTAATGACCGGCAGTTGTTGGGCATAGAATAGATTATCTAAGTCCTGCCTAAATGTACTGTGAAATGAGACGCGGAAAACTGCAGCTAGTGGAAAGGATGAGGAACAGCAATATTTTCAAGAATGCATACTTTATCTGTAATATATATGTAGAGTACTTGAGATTTGGGGGTGTTACAAGAGAACTACCTTTATTCAAAGTAGCTTTGAAAGTGGTCATGATTCTGAAGGCCGACTTTGCCAAGCAGGGCAAATTTGCCCTATAAACTAAGTGAAAATATCTCACTAGTGGCTGTGAAATGCTGCTAAGAGAGCCAGCAGGCAAGTACACCTCTCCTTTTGCAGACGGAGAGGTGGAGGCAAAGGCTGCAGCCCTGGTGTGCTCCCACTCCAGCAATAACAACAGCATCTCCTTGCCCCGCTCCCCTCATTCTGGCCTTAGGTCGGGCTCTCTGCTGCGCCTAGCAGTTATGCACATTGTAAATGCTGAGAAGCTGCATTCACCAGCTCTTGGAATTAAAGCTGGCAGACCAAATTTTCTCTTTTAAAGCAGCATTCGTACTGATTTCTGTATGGGGGGATTCATTTGTCAGTGAGTAATACCATTTTATTTTCACCAATCTTTGTACAGCTATTTAGAAATTATTAGCTTGTTACAGCTCTAATTAAAACTCTGCTTTGAACAACTGAAAAAAATAAGTAAAACTGGACCTAAACAGCAATTTTTAAAAGGTAGAGGCCAGGATGGAGGGAAGAGGTTTGGGGATTCCTTTAATTTTTAGTTAGCCAGCTTAAACTTGTCCATTTCTAGTCACTGCATGCTTGGCACCAAAGAAACTTTTTTCTTCTATATCCAAGTAACACTCTCATTCATCTTCAGAAATCCTGATTGAACTGAGATTAAAGCATAAGCTTTCATGTGGTTGTGGATTCTTGGCCAAGCTACAGGAGAGCTGGGTTGAAATCCTGATCTGTACATATCTGGTAGGACAAGTCTTTGTTCTTTGATTCATTACAAGAAGCACTTGCAGAGTAAGTACATATATGCCAGATTTTTTCCTTAAAACACACATAGGAAGCCAGACTATGTAAAAAAGAGTTTGGGATGAGAACTGAACGCAACAAAACAAAACTGATCAGGTAGAATGAGACCCTGTTTGGATTTGATTATGAGCCTAAAGTCCTGGTCTCTCATCTTCCAGACCCACAATGAGCTTTTTAAGTTGGTGACAAGAGCTGATGCCATATCCCAACTGAGTAATAATAACTCTAGCAAATGTCATCTGGAATGACTCTGTGACTTGGAGAAAGCAAAGCCTGATATTATTTCTTGAACAACTTTCAAGGCTTTTCTTTCAGCTATGGACCTACCCTGATCTTTAGTAATAAAGAGCAGTGAATGAAAGAGGCAGATGGTTTAATGTGTCCGAGCAGGCTGCGGTACTGGGATTGGCAGAGCACTTAGGTGTGGCAGCCAAGTCAGGCCAGAGTTACCACTCACAGCGACAGAAAATGCAAGCTTTCATTAGGATATTGTGTCCAAAAAAAGTCTTAAAGGATAACCTGGAAAATAATGGTATGTATACAGTTCTAGTCACAGCACTTTCAAAGATGTCACATGATTTTTACATCTGACAAATTCTACTTACTGCAACCAATTTCATTCCTGAATGATTTTACAGCAATTCATCTGTATTTCTAACTTAGGTCTTTGAGTTTTCTATTCATTTTTTTCCTGGTTATAGATAGGGGTTTTTTGCCATATTTTCACTTGATCTTGCATGCAAGTGGTGTTAACTAATCTATATTTTGATTTAATTTGCATTAATAAATTTCTAGTTCAACTTCCTTTGGAGATTGGACTTCACTCAGTCCAATACTACTCCGTCTTGAAGTGGTGTTTGGTGTTTTCGGAGTTTCTTGTTACTACAGTTGCAGTGTTTTACAAGGAGAAGTTCAGTCACAGAAATAAGCAATGTGAATATTTCTGAATTGTGTGGTCTTAGTTAAAGAGGTATCTTGATTAGTATCCTACTTAATGGGATAAAAATCCTATCCACCACAAACCAGACTGCTTTATTTGCACACCAGGCAGAATTTGCTAGCACTGTAAATTCAGCTGTGCATGTCTTTCTGCTAAATGGATGCCTTGGCCAGGGAAGCACAAGTGATGCTCTGCCTTCTATTATGATTTGCTTGTAATTGCAAATAAAATCGCAATATTTAACTTTCAATTATTGCCTAAGGCTTCTAGAAAGTAAAGAGAGGAAGCTCACTTTAACTTGTAGGTAACTAGATACATGGAGTAATCTCCAAACTCTGCTCCAGGGTATGTGACATTTTTAGTTTCCAAGAGTTCACCAGACAGAGTCTTTGCAGCAGCCACTGACCTGGGGACAGAGCAATTAAATGATACTTAGGAGATGTGGATACTAGTTCGGCAGTAGAAAGGGAGCTGTATTGGTTATAGCAGCACAAAATTTGTTCTCAGAATGTCACACCACTGTGGCCAAAATACTAGAGAATATTACCTGGTATTATAAATAGTATTAGATATACTGGGAATGGGAGTTCCCCAGTGAAGCTCATTTAATTTTTTTTTTGTAAATGACTTACTAATCAGTTTTATATTTTTAGCTTTATGTTGTTAGCATATAATTAGCTATAGCTCAGCAGAGAAGGGAAGAAAAGTCAAGTCTCATGAGCAGGAATAGAGCTTCTGCATGACTTCTCTGTGTCATCTCCAAAAAAAAGTTTTTTGTTTTTTTTTTTACTAGGTAGTTCTTTTGCTCTTTTTAATCGTTTTACTCATCTTTGGAAGTGCTTCTATAAATAGCACGTATATCTATGCATGGCTCAGCCTCCATACTTGACACAAGTAAGCTGATCTGGTGTCTACCCTTATGCAGGATAGCTACACACTGCAGCACCTGTTATAATTCGAGGTGATAAATTTGCATGAGCTCCAAACTTCTGCTGTGCTTCTTAAATCTCCTGAGAAACTCATGTGGCTGTTCTCACCCCACAACTCCCAACTACCACTGCCGCATGGCACCTTACTTCCCTGGGTGGATATAATGGGGTCCATCATTTTTTTCTACAATATAGCTTAAGCATTTTGTTTTAAATTCAAGCTGAATTTCTTTTTTGGGGAAGTTTTTCAGGTGGAACTGTTACATTCTGGGAGCGAAGAAATTCCATTGCTTTACTCAACTAAAGAATATTATAATATTGATGATAATAATAATAATGGAAAGTTAATTTAATTGGAAGGGTTATGCTTTGGAACAGTTGGTGGAGTTGTCAGGCTGTTGCCGTTTGCTTTTCTAGTTTTAAAACCTTAGAAACCTTTTAAAACCTTTTAGAATCACTTCTAAAATCTTATAAAGTGCTATGTATTCACCAATACAATAATTATGTTATTCTGGTAGAGAGAGAACAAGAGGTGAAATGTATGTTTATCTTCAGCTAACACAGATCAAAATATCCTACTATTTTTGAAAATTTGTGTGTGCTATTCCCAAACAACTGTGTAACGGGTGTTGATGAACCTTTAGGGAAGGACATTAAAGCTCAGTAACTCCATGCCAGAGTTGCACATACTTCCCAGGTCTCTGCTCCCTACTCAGCTCAATCCTACACGTTTTTGTTCGAGTACAGTATAACAAAGCAGCAAGCACTGCCATAAAGAATTGACAGCTACTTTTGTTTCCATTGTAGTTGTCATGTTCTCAACCGTGTCATTCTCTGCAGGCCTCTTCAGTGGAAGAAGACACACCAGGGGCTGGCTCTGGAAGTGCAGGACCTGTGAGCCTGGTGTGCGCTTCCCCAGGTGAGTTGTTGCTGGCCAGGGCTTGTCCTTGACCCTGCCCTTACCCTTGTTGTTGTCCTTGTCCTTGCCCTTGTCTTTGTCTTTATCCCGGCCCTTGCCCTTGCTTCTGCCCTTGTCAATGGGCAAGGAAGGTTAAGGGCCACTCTGCAGCTGGAGCAAAATTCGTGCATCCTCAGCGGCACCCAGAGGGTTTGTTAGGAAATGCAGAGTGTGTCTAAAATGCCAAGCTTAACGGCACGCGGCTTTGCTTGCACATCGTCTGCTTGCTGCTTGTGTGTAGCAATAGCTGCTGCATCCAGAAAGCAGTCAGGGCTGTCACTCAGTAACACCCTGCACTTAGCATAATTTTTTTCCCAAGATGCTAAAGAATGAAATACTTAAGTCCTCTGCACAGGGGCTTTGCCATTGGGAGTGGATTAAGTCAATAATACTGTGCACACTCTTGATTTTCCACGGTAAAAGCTTTAATGGGGAAGGCAGGAGCCCAAATCAGGGGAAAGCAATTTGCTTGTATCTTTCTCTCTCACATTTGAGGCTACTTTCCCCAATAGCATGCATTTCATCTACCATATAGTATCATACTATACTATCATTCTTATTTTTTTATTGTTGGTGTTATATATGTGTTTTCAAATGGGTCTGTCATAGTTTATTGTGGTATAGGTATTTAAAAGGCAAAAGCTGAAGCAGATTTTTACATGAAATCTTGTCCTGTAAATATTAAGTATATTGCACTGCTCATCAAGCATGAAATTACTTAAGCAATTAAGATTTGCCATCAATTTAATATAGTACCAACACCCCATGAGTAGAAACACAGCCAGCCTCTTCTTGAGGTGCTGCAAGTCTCAAAAGCACTTGGACTGGGGCTGACTCGAATACTTTGGGGGCTCACAGATGGAAACAGACCAGCCTTTCAGATAGATAAATCATTGTATAGCAGCACAGAGGTTAACAATCTTGAATTGCACCTGGCAGGTAATATAGAAGTCTTGGCTTCTCTGAGATTAATTTTGCCTATGTTGAAATGGTATTTTTAAAAACATCTAGTTGATGAGCTTATGGTATATCCAGTAAGAAAACAGATTGTAAGAAATAGGAAGTTTATTCGAAAAAAAATCTTAACTTTGCCTCATGTATGTGTGGATTAGTTTCAGATCAGAAGCAGTTTGAGTCAACTGCAGCTTGTGCCAGCCCTATCGTGACCACCTTAGAGTTACCCGCCAGCCCTATCCCTTTGGAAGAAGCTGCTTCCAGTGAGAAGGATGTGAAGAAACCTGAAAAGGAACCACAGGAGGAGACCCAGCTCCCTGCTGCGCAGGAGGTGCGTCAGGGCCAGGAGGAGAAACAAAACCAAACAGAGGAAGAAAGTGCTCACAGGCAGATGTTCATTGCACAGGCCATTGGTTGGTGTTTTGCTCTGCCATGTCACTTCAGAGGTTCATTTAAAACAACCTTCTAGTGAGTGACCCCACAGGGTGGTTTCTGTGCAGAATCAGCTTGGAGAAGTGCCCTGCAAAGAGAGCCGCCAGGTCTGCTTGTAGAATCCAAATGTGGAAACTGTCAGGAGCAGCAAAGGGAACTTAGCTGCAAACTCCTGTCCCTCTAGATTTGAGGAAAGCAGAGTGTCCAGGGAGCGTAAACAGAGGAGTGTGCAGCTGGCAGGTGATGCCAGAGCTAACAGCTAACCAGCTGTGACAGTCCTGCTCTGTCAGGTACATTAGGGTCTTGGTCCTGGGTCACGATTGCCTTTGGTGTGCAGAACATGATGAATATTTCAAGCAAGACAAAAATGGCAGTTATTTCCAGGACCTCAATATTGCAACTCCACATTATGATTCAGGAGGTTGTTAATCATTGCTTCGTAATTATTGATAACGTTGATTCAGAAAATAAGTTTAAAGGGCTCAAGCTGGCCTTTGATTGTACTTGCTGATCTTTATATGCTGTTGTCTGATCTCAAATATCCAAACAGGTAATGAAGCCAAAAGCCCTGGAGCCAGAGGGGAGTGTAGTACTCCCCTTTTTAAAGAAACTACCTGAGACCAGCCAAGTTTCTCTGCACAATTCTGATCTACAAGGTGAGCAAAAAGGGAATGTGGGAGCTGTGGAGAACGCAGCTGAACGATACTGCATAACTTACACGTGGTATTCTGGGAGTGGTCACTTAATCAGTGACTTGAAGGTTTTGCAGATAGTTCATGTCCAGTTGCATCTAGTAGGGTGTTTGTGATGGAAGAAAACTCTTCTTGTTGTTCCCCGTAAACACAAGAGCAGAATTGTGACTCAAAGGAGGCACACCAGAAGGATGCTATCTTGTACATAGCTAGCTGAAGATTATCTGCTACGTTAATGAGTGTTATAATTTAATACTGCTGTTACCTGCAGAAAGTGGTGGGGCAATTGGTTTTATCTGGTAATAAGAACATCTGGGGATAAATTCTGCATGCAGAATGTTCATGAATGGCTCATTTTTATAGATAACTATGCATACATGGCTACAGCTCTCAATTTGATCCATGTACATCAAAACTTCTTGTAAAAATGAGTATTTTTTACCCTCATGGCAAAGTTATGCATAAGACAAATAATGTGTAGTAGGGGTATTTTGCATAGCTTTTAGAGATGCATATGTGTAGGTATTGTTTAACAAAGAGAGAGAGAGAGAGGAATTAACTAAAGCTTTGTTCCCCAATAGCTTGTTTGATTGCTGGCTGGGGAATTGGTAATATCATTATTCTCCCAGTGCTTTCAAGATGAACTAAGGGTGATGGGGGCAAAACAGGACTATGTGAAAAGGAATGGCTGTCTCACTTGCATTAAGCCAGGAGATGCTTTGCACACAAGCAGCTGCTTTGTGTGAAGCGCAAATCGCCCCAAGCAGCCAGTAACGGAGGGCAGGCGCTGCTTGGCTTTCCTGAGCGACGCCGAAACGCTTGGCTGCTCTCTAGCGTCGACAGCATGGAAAGGGTCGTGGGGTCCCCCAAACGCGCATCTCCAAGAGAAGAGCGGCACGCGTGGGCTTGGCCGACCTTGATGGGACCTTGCCGTGCCAGAGCCCTCCTGCAGGACGAAATGCCCTGTTGCCAGAGCGGCCTGCGAGCGGGGGAAGGCGTCGCGGCCTGGCGCTGGCGCTGGCGCTGACGGCGGCCTGTCTCTTGTCTTGTGTGTGTGCCTCCCGCAGAGCCGCCCCGCGGGGCCGCGCTGGCGCTGCGCCTGCGCAACTGCTGGCGCCGCTCGCAGTTCTTCTCGCGGCCAGGTAACGGGGCCGCCCGGCGGGGCGGGAGGGTGCGGGGACCCGCTGGCCCAGCGAGTGGCTGCTCCTGCGGCACGGTGCGCTGCGCCAGGGGCTCGTGGGCCCCGCGCTGCCCCAGCGCCCTGGGGTCGGGCACCCACGCCAAACCATTCGCCTGTGAATTGCCAGTGCTCGCAATCCGCTTCATTCGAAGCCTCTCCAAAGGACAAAAAAAAAAAAAGCAGCTCTTTGCAACTGTGCCTCTTGAGCAGCGCGCTCCGCTCCTGCCTTTGCTCTGCTTTTTCCTTCCTTGCACTGAAGCGCGAAGGGAAAAGCAAGTGACACTAGATAGTGCTCCGCGCACCAGCACCGCTGGTGGCTGCGGCCACAAGTAGCTGGCATTAGATGTGGCGTTAGCTAGTGGTCGAGTAGAACCTCCTCTTAGTTGATATTGCTCCTCCATAGCCAGATCAAACATACTTCTGTTGGTGAAGGGTGTAACCTAGTTCTCTGGTTTATTTGCTTGCAATTTGTTGTTGCATTTGGTTGTGGGAGCAAATACAAAACTAACATGAAGCTTTTTTTTATACAGATACAGTTTAGCTTTAGCTGCAGGCTAAGCCCATTTTGCTGTTTTGCTATATTAACTTTTTTTTCCTATTCTGTCCATAGCTGATTCTGATAGTGGTGACAAATCAAATGTGAGTAGCTGCTTTGCATTATTGTTTGATTTAGAGATATGTGTTGTAACAAAAGTGAAATTTGTGTGAAATTGTCTTGCAATATCCCCAGAATATATCCCTTGTCATGATATGTCATGAAATGAGAGAGCAAAAAAAGTACAATCCAAACCGACTTTAGAAAAATGATTATGGAGAATATTCCATATTATGTCTGGTCTTCTCTGTTAGACATGATATGAACCAGGAATTTATGTCTTCTTCTCTTACCCAGGGGGAATGCTGGCTACACAGTACTAGACTGTAGGAATTCTAGTAATATAGCGCTGGATTGTGGGAACCACTTAATTCTAGAGCTTATAAATCTGGAAATAATATGCAACCCTGAGTTATCCCTTCTACTCTATGTGCATAGAAATTAGGAAATGCTACAATTTTACTATTTCCCAGGAAATGTAATCCAAAGTGATACATTAAAGTCCGCATGTTTCATATTGGCTTTGCTGTGTAAAAATAGAATGGCTTCTTATTTGACTCTAATGTGACCCGTAGTAGAAAGTAGTATGACATAAAGCATCTAAAACTACCTTTGATTCTGAAGGGTGTCACATAATGGGATCCTGATCTGATTGAGGCCTGGGATGTTATTACATTCTGGGCAAAAAAATAAAAACAAGGCTGTTAGATGTGCTGGCAGACATGAAATGAAAGGATATATTTTACAATTATAAGTTACTTTGCATGGTGTATAGAAAATTATACAGAGGAAAAATAATGTTTTTCTTTAAGTCTGTGTACCCACAGGTGACTCTGTTCAGCTGTTAGAGCTTTCCTTCAGATCATCTCTTTTTTCCCTCCACTTGAAGCTTCCCAAGCTTCTCATTGCAAACCAAGCAATTTTTTTTTTCTCATCTGGATATCTGTGGGCCATCCCAGTCAGTGAAACTAAAAATATTCCTTATTATCATTACCCAGTTCAGAATTCCCTGTTTTAACATTACCACTAGGAGCAGGCTAGATTTCTGTGAGAGCCTTGTCAAGTATCATATTCAAATCTAACAGCTTCATTTTGCTTCACTCAAGCGTTTCAATTTCTGGTCCTGGGATCCAGAAGAAGAGCGAAAGCGACAGGAAAGGTGGCAACATGAGCAAGAACGCTTGCTTCAGGTAAGGAAGCACCTAGATTTCTTCCCCCTTGGAGTTTGTTTTCCAGTTAAATTGCCGCTTTAGGCAAAAATTGAGTATTTGGGATCAGTTTCATTTTTATCTTTTACCCACCTTTCAAACTCCAGTGCTTCATCTGAATTGAATAATTGTTTGACAAGAAAGTGAAAATTCTTTTAATTTCTTATTTATCATATGGCATTAAGAGTTCTACAAAGCTGTCACACACCCCAATACTGCCAAAAGCAGTACTTGCAAAACCACTTAAACCTTGCTACACTGAAATGGATGTTGTCTACCTTGACTTCAGCAAGGCTTTTGACACTGTCCCCTGTAACATCCTCATTGGCAAGCTCAGAACTTGTTGGGTAGATGAGTGGACAGTAAAGTTAGTTGAAAAGTGGCTGAATGGCAGAGCTTCAAGGGTTGTGATCAGTGGCACAGTGTCTAGTTGGAGGCCTGTAGCTGGTGGTGTCAAAACTGGGAGAAGTGACTGATGTTTCGTAGGGCTGTGCTGCCATTTAGGAGGAGGAAAGGAAGCTCCTGAGGTTCAACAAAGGCAAGTGCAGAGTTCTGCATCTGGGGATGAATAACCCCAGGCACCAGTACAGGCTGGGGAATGACCTGCAGGAGAGTAGCTCTGTGGAGAAGGACCTCGTGGGCAACAAGTTGACCATGAGCCAGCGATGTGCCTGTGTGGGCCAGAGGGCAAATGGATTTTCTCCTGGGGTGCATCAGGAGGAGTGTTGCCAGCAGGTCGAGGACAGTGATTCTGTTGCTCTACTCAGCCCTGGCGAGGCCACGTCTGGAGTGTTGGGTCCCGTTCTGGGCTCCCCACTACAGGAGGGGCACAGAACTACTGGAGAGAGTACAACATGGAGCAGTAGAGATGACTGTGGGACTGGAACATCTGTCCTTTGAAGAGAGGCTGAGCTGGGCCTGTTCAGCCTGGAGAAGAGAAGGCTGAGGGGAGATCTTATGAATGTGTGTAAGTACCCTAAGGGAGGATGTCAAAAGGACTGGGCCACTCTTTTCTTTGGTGGCCAGTGATAGGAGTAGGCACAGACTGAAGCACAGGAAGTTCCAGCTGAATATGAGGAAAAACTTCTTGACTGTGAGGGTGGCAGAGCACTGGAACAGGTTGCCCAGAGAGGTTGTGGAGTCTCCTTTTCTGACAATATTCAACCCCCCTCTGGACACCTTCCTCTGCAAGGTGCTCTAGGTGACCTTGTTTGTGCAAGAGGGTTGGACTAGTTGATCTCCAAAGGTGCCTTCCAACCTTAATGAATCTGTGATTCTGTAAAATGTTTAATGTAAAGTCCATGCTTAAGTGCTTTGAGATAAGAGTTTTTATAACTCTTAATTCTGTATGATAAGTAACAAATTATTGAGATGAATAAATTTAATTTCACATCATGCATTTAAAATTTTCTTCTAAGAAATTAATCTTCTAGCACATTAAAAGTTTTAAGTGTTTTGAATGTGTTACATACAAATGCAGAAGATAAGAGGAAAGAAGAAAAACAGCTTTTTAGATACCCAGGAATGTTTCAAATGTTTGTGTTTCATCCCTGTTTCTGATTAATCCATGTGTAGCAAGTTTATTTGCCGTGGGAAGGTATTACAAATTTTGCTCCTTTGATACAGAGTTTTTTGAATTGCTGTGTATTTATGTCCTGTCTAGGAGAAGTACCAGAGGGAGCAGGACAAGCTGAAAGAGGAATGGGAGAAGGCACAAAAAGAAGTTGAAGAGGAGGAACGTAGATACTATGAGGAGGTATAATGCTCAAAAAAGAAGATTGTTTAGGAGAGTCTTCTTTTAGGTTTAAGTGCTGTAAAGTTTAATTACTGTTAAAGAAAAGAAAATCCAAACCTGAACTGATTATTAAAAGGAATGAAATATCAAGAGCATTTTTTTCTTAAATACTTCCATAAAGACTGAAAAAAATATTTAAATACTTAAACAGGGATCCTCAGAGTCTCTGCATACATGGTGGTGCATGATTGCCCTACTGGTTTGGGTAAATACTTGGCATTGCACCTGGGCACACTCAGAATTTCCCATTTGGATAAATCCTCAGAATTGCATCTGGGCACACTCAGAGTTTCCCATTTGGATAAATCCTTGGGATTGCATCTGGGCACACTCAGAGTTTCCTGTTGGTGAGAGCCTCCTGTGTTCCTGCATCCATTCCTTGTATATGCAAGCAACGGAACACGGTGAAGCTCAGGAGGAAAATGCTGTCTGCCTTGGCTTGAACATGTTGATATTTTTAGACTAGACTCATGTGACCAAAAAATTTCACCAGAAATGTTCAAAGTTTGCTCAAAGCAAATTTTTTTTAAAAAATGAAATGATTCTTTTTCCAAAAGACGAAGCTCTTATTATTACTCTTGGTATCCAGCTCCTTCCCTAGCTCCCTAGATGCGAATAAGAACAAACCAAATTTTGTGTTACTTTGTGCTACTACTTTTTAAGTTCATAGTTCACATTCTGTGCTTTTAATGCCCTGCTCTCTCCTTATCCTTTTTTTTAGGAACGTAAGATAATTGAAGATACGGTGGTTCCATTCATTGTGTCTTCAAACTCTGCTGAATTCCTCTCCTCCTCTTCATCTGCTACTGAAGGAAGCAAGACAGTGGTGAGTTTCTTGTGGAGTGTGTAGGCAATGGTGGCAAATGCATATAGCACAACTTTGGAAGCAGCATTGGTGTTGTCATTTGGGAATTTCCAAAGCACATAGTACCCAGTCCTCAGTCTGCTGTCTGCAAAGTCATTGGCATTTCTCATGGCAATGGGCAGAGATCCCTCACAAAGAAGTCTCCATAAGACCTATGGGAGAGTATTTAGCCTCTCAAAGTCGTTCAAAGATTTCTACCAAACATGTGTAGTGGGAAGTTTTATTTTGTTGTCCTGCACTGACTCATAATTGGTCAATGTAACAAGATGTTCTTTATAGTCATAAAGGATATCAACACAGTGCATCTAGGGGCAGCCTGTGCTTTGTGCTGGTGCTGAGATTGAGGAGCACCTTGTTCCCACCCTTGCTGTCTTCTAGAACTCCACTGATTCCAACAATTCTCCAGAGGAAGGCAAACAACAAGAAGCTACAAGGCAGAAAAAAATGCTTTGGGAGCAGGACAGTATGCCATCTCTGAAAAGCAAAGAAAATGAACTCCAGCAAGAAAAGAATAGGTATGGATCAAGCCTGAGTGTGTCTGCAATGTGTAGCTTTGTGTTCTGCAGAGCTGTGGGAGTCACATCTGCCCTTGACTGTCGCTGGAGCATCAGCATCTTACCATGTGGCTGTGATAGCTGTTCTGCATCACAAGGTGCTGGTTTCAGTGGTACCACAGTTAATGGAGAAGGATATAAAATGCAATCTAAGTTTATCTTCTCATTTCCTTGGCATGGTTATAGATGTAATATATATTCACTTGCGGCAGACAAAGATAGTGCTGGTTTACCCATATTTACATGCCTTGTAAGCATGGGGATTTGCTGAGAGGCTGTTTTATTAATCACACCTGATTTAGATCCTGTGCATTAGATAGCTTGGGCATTTCAGTATGGCTGAATAATTTTTTATACCAATTTTCCAAAGTTTTTAGTTGAATAAAAGAGTGGGAAATATTTTCATGCAGTTAGGATCTTTGAGAAGTTGCCTAGCTATTTTAAGAGCTCCATACCCAAACTTGCCAGATGGTCTTCAAAGCTCTGGTCTTTGCAAAACTGATAATCACAGCTTTCACAAGGAGAAGCAGCATCTGACGAGGCCAAATACTCTATAGAAAACACTGGGTAAAAAAAGCTATTTCTATGTCAAATAAACTGTTTTATACAAATCCAGAATGATCTTTAATGCAGGAATATCTCAATGCATGAATGAAGCAGGAAGACTCGGCAAGTTTAGCATATTGTCCATATTGGTTTAGCATTGCAATCCAGTTTAAAAACTGTTGATGTTGACATAATGAACTTTTATTCAAAAGTGTGATTTTGACATCGTATTCCATTTTGAATTTTTTCCTGTGCTTATTTATACAATTACTGGCTCCTTTCAGCAGTGTAAATAAAGTGCTCTCAGGACATCCAGAGACAGGTATCCTGAAAGGAAGTGAGCAGGAGCACCAGCTGCCTGTGCCGGAACGCCACTCATCTGCCCGGCTAAATCTACCACTAACTCAGGGTAAGAGTCAAAACTCTTCACACACAGGTATTATTTTCTCCTACAGAAATCTTGCAGATATTTAGTGACTGCTTGGGAACTCAGACGCTTTGGAAATTAACAGCAGGACTTGAATGACTCACAATCCAAATATATTTTCTGATAAAAATATATGTTCAGTTGAATTTTAAGTCTTTCTTCTTTGACTTAAAAATGGTTTTTTTTTTAGCTCTAGTTAGAAATCTTGTTAATAAACCTGTATGCTAACCATAATAATTTTAAAGTTATGTTATGTAATCTTTTATTTATATATGTATAATCTTATAAATGTGTGTATGTGTTTGTGCACATATACATACATATACGATTTATCTTGATACGGAGAGCAGATTTACAAAGCTCATTTCATTTGTGATAACTGACTAGATTCATTAACTCAATTTCTACGTATAATAACATCTACCTGTGATGTGTAACCATTTTAAATTGAACCTAAAGAGCCTCCTGTCTCAGTTTTGCCTTTAGAAATGTCTGACAGCATTTAAGAGTAATAGCTCATTTTAAGCTCTCATAAATATTGCTGTTCTTTGCATGCAAGCACATCCCCAAAGCACTGTTTTCAGTGGATGACCATCCAAAACAAGTAAAATTGTTTTCTGGGTGACATCTAAAAGAGGTGACCTGCCCTTGGTAGGCTTGCTAGAAGTTTTCTTCTCCCCTAACACACCAGGTTGGAGCACTGAAGGGCAAGACCATTCCAGGCCAGCGAGCCACGAGATTTGTCTGGCAGGATGTTTGCTGCTCCCCCCGTCCTGTCCTAGAGATGGGTGTCCTGCTTACCTGGGTGTCACAATTGGTCACACGTTGCTGAGAGGTCATTTCTGTCCCTGAGCTTTGTGCACTCGGGTGAAACACAAAGGGAAATTGCAAGAGAAGGCAGTTTATTAATAGGCTTATGGAGAAGAGTGGGTCTGCTTCATTTCTATTAAGTCATGAGACATTTGGATCTCTTTGACACTTGTTCCTTACTACAGAAATACTTTGTTTCCTCAAAAGCTACTCAAGGATAGCTGTTTCCTGAGTCTTCTTTGGCCTTCTCCAGAAACTGAGACCCTGCAGCCATGCAGGTGATGGAGATGTGAGGGTGAAACTGTATGAGTTTCTCCTGCCGAGGCCTACTGGAGCAGCAGAACCTCTCTCTGACTTCCCAGGGCTTCTCCAAGAACTTCTCTCTGAGTCCCAGCACTTTGAGTGGGGGGCCAGTTACCCAAGGAGAGAACTGGGCATATACAGGTGCAGCACATACTGGTGCCACACAATGGCAGGACTAATGGCTCCTGGCATTCTCCTTGCCTGACATGAGTTGTAAAGATCACCTTGGCCTATTTCTGCCTTCCACATTGTGCTTTTGCCCCCACTCTTGTTTCAGAGGTCTCGTGGAGCCAGCAGGCACTGACCAAGCCGTCCCCGCAGCGCGCGGATGACACGAGGCTGAGGACGTCCCCCACTCAGGGTGTGGGTCCCCAGGCGAACTCCACGGGGGAGAAAAGGAGGTGAGAATGCAAAGTGAAGACTACTGCAAAGCTTGAGATGTCCTGCTACCTCTGTCCTCCCTCTCTCTTCTTCTTTGCTTTATATTTTGGGTAATCATTGCTAAAGGGTGATGCCAGTTCTTTTAGTAAACAGGAGAGGGCATTTGCCTAATATTTGCACAGAGCATATCTATGTAATGAGAAAGGAACGTCTATTTTCATTAACATATGTGTGAACAGTCTCCTGCAAAGTTTGTGCCTCTCTTTGAGGCTTGTATCTAGTCAAAACTAATGTAGATTGAATTCTGGTTACCTTCTCCTTGTAACAAGCTACTTTGGTATGTTTGAGAAAATTGTTATGTGATCTGTAAACAGCTGTAAGCAGTGAGAGGTTGAATCAATCCTGTCATTTGTGATGAGATAAAACTATACATATTTTTCTAAGGCATAATGTATACAACTGGGAATAAGGCAGTCTTCTGTGTTGATAGTTTGTTCTTACTCAGTTAAGGGTACACACAGTCAGTCAGCTACCCCAGCTCTGCTCTATCTGTGTGTTTCTGTGCACACTCCCTTGGCAGAGTAGAGGTCTTTTGCCTTGGCTTAACTCTCCCTCATTGCCCTGTGAGACCGGCTGTACCCGTAGGTAGCCAGGAGCTTTCTCAGGGATGATCTGCACAAGAGATATCTTTATGAAACAGTACTAAGCAATCACAACTCTGGATCGAAAAAACACATGCGTCTGTTTTTTATTCTATCAAAATATCAGCGAGCAGCTAATTAATAAGTTGTTTTGGTGTTAAGTGAGGTCTTTAGAGCTGGAAATTTTGAGACCTATCAGCCGGAATTTCTCAATACAAAACCACTGGTTTTATTTGCTTTAGCTGTTGCAAATTATTTTTATTTCCTGCATTTCAGGGCAGCCTGTCATGAGAATTTCCGCCCTGGGCCATCATCTCCCTGTTCTCCTGCTGCTCCAAGCTACTCACCCAACAGGTACAAAAGGTCAATGAGGAACTTTACAAACTGAATACATCTCAGAGTCACTGGTGAAATGCTGCAGCGTAAATCACATTGATATTATGTGAATGCACTATTAATACCTGTTAATGTTGCAATGTATAAATTAAACACACATAAAACGCAGTGCTCCCTCTCCCATTCTTCCTGCCTACTTCAGCAGTGAGCACTATTGTGCTGTAAAATAGCACAGTTCAGAAAGCAGCTGCAGAACTCTGCTTGGTCATTGAAATCTCACAGGGGTAGCGCAAGCCCCAGTTAAATTAAGCAGTTAAGCATGAGCTTAAAGCACTTAGGCCAAAGGATGATGTCTTTGTCGCTCGCTGTGAATACTTACACGAGTAACTAACAGTTCACAGTGTGAATACTTACATGAGTAAGAGATGTTCTGTTGGCACTGCCACCTTGGCACAGACTATAGAAAACTGTTAGAAATGCCTATGCACCATAGGATTTGCCCACTGGAAAGTTTAATTGCATAGCAGTTGCATCTATGTGTGTGCTAGACATACAGTACATCCTGCATAGAACTGGAATAGATGGCAAGTGTGTTCTTGACTGCAAATTCCTCTAACCTTCTGCTCTCCCCATACAAAGTCAGTTATGATTCACTGGGAGAAAACTTAGGACTTCAGACATTCTCAGGTGAGAGCTGCATTCCCACCTTCTGCCTTGCACCATGCAAACATTCTTGCAAACAAATTGAAATAAAAAGCCCAGGACAATAATCTGATCTTTCTAAGCTTCAATTGTCCATGCTTTTAGAAAGAGATTGTTAAATTCTTCATTTAAAGCCCTGTGTTTCAAACATTCCAGCAAGAAGAGTTCTTGGTCACTTGGTTCATGTGAATATCTAGTTTGACTGATACGTTATTCACAGGTTCTGAGTAATCCCCAGGGCCTGTTCACTTCCCTCCAGTGCTCCTTACTCCCAGCATGTTCCTGTCCATGATCCCATGTAAACATTTGGTTGCACTTTAGGATAAGTTGCCGTAAGTTTTCTTGACGTTTTGTCTCCTAGGTCTGTCAGTGGGAAGAAGCTTTGTTCCACCTGTGGTCTTCCCCTTGGAAAAGGAGCTGCCATGATTATCGAAACACTCGGTCTTTACTTCCACATTCAGTGCTTCAGGGTAAGTCTTTTCCTGTGGGCACTTAAGGAAAAATCTGAAGTCAGAGCACAGCATGAGCAGCTTGAGACCTTGATGGTCTCCTGCTATTGATGGATAAGGAGAGAAGCAAGTGTCTGGCATTTGCTATGCAAGTTTATTATTTGTATAGAGTTGCAAGCCTCATTATTTGCAGAGAAGTGCAAATAATATGACTATTTAAAAAAAAAAAAAAAAAAAAACAGATATACTAGCTGGACCAAAACCTGTGGCTATAATAAGGAACGTCGTCTTCCTAACTTACAGAGATCTGAGGCATAGTAAAAATTCCCAGTTATACTTGCAGTTCTCCAAATTATAGAATTGGTTATCCTATGGTTTTCTCAAAACCCTTATTAGACCCAAAGGCTCCTCCTCCATTTTTCATCTCACCTATGGTCCAACTCAGAAAGCTTTAGCTAAGTAATGTCTTCCTTTTTTTTTTTATTCTTATATTCTGAAAATGTTCTCAGCATTTTTGATATCTTCAAAGATGTGTCTTTTTACTTTCACTGAAGCTACAAACTATGTCATGATTGTTCTTGAGTGTGTCCATCAGGAAACAACAAAATCTGGTGTTTGCTAGAGAATTCAGAAAGTACCTTTTTTCATTAACTCTGAGCCGACTGGTAACTAGACATTCTTGTAGCCATTTTCAAGTTTGGACATTTGCCCAAACTAAACCTCTGGCCTTTTTAAGCTTTCCTTAGCACAGATGTGCTGACTGTAGAATAAAAACCAGTAGACTTCACTCATGTGTGATTGGAAACCACTGAAATCCAGCACGAAATGCTATTTGTTCTTAAAAGCTTTTCATTGCCTTGCAGCATTCCAGATTTTGCTTGTTTTTCTCACTATTCTAATGCTACTGAACCAAGAGTCAGAACTTTTGGGGGGATTGTGGCAAATATCAGAGCCTGCTCTCTCTTACTTTTTCTGTTCTTCTCCTGGCAGTGTGGCATTTGCAAGGGACAGCTGGGAGATGCAGCAAGTGGGACAGATGTCAGGATTAGAAACGGTCTTTTGAATTGCAATGATTGTTATATCCGATCCAGAAGTAAGTACCCAATCCTGTCCTAAAAAGCTGCGTATTTTGTTCTGATTTCACAGAAAACTCAAACAATTTTGTCGTCGTGATTTTAACAGCAGGGAGCTTTTTCCTCCTGGAAGAAGTATATTCTCCAAAGTATGTTCTCCTTTGTGCATTTTAGAGGTTTTGCCACTGCTCCCCTCTCCATCCCCTTTCAGCTTGGCCTGACATCACCAGTGTGATGAGATGGACAGTGCAGACACTGTCGTTCTGCTTTGTGAAAAAGAGGAAGGCGCAGGGAGGGAGGGAGGGAGGAAGGAAAGAAAGAAAGAGAGAAGGAAGGAGAGAGGAAGAAATAGAGAGGAAGCAGGAGAGAAAGAAAGAAGGAGAGAAAGAAGGAGAGAAGCGGGGAGAGAGAGAGAGAGAGAGAGAGAGAGAGAGAGAGAGAGAGAGAGAGAGA